TTGAACAAGTGCCGAATTATCCGCAGAGGTCTAATCCTCTTCAACACAAACAGGCCCAGTGATTTAAATTAATAAAAACATTGAATAAAGCAGTTCCATGTTAAAAAAAATGTGTTTTTCTGACACTGTTTGCTTTGTCTGTTCTGAACTACTGCAGGAACATGGTGCAACATGGCAGACTCCATGGGCTCATTCTAAGGTAACGAAAACACAGTAATTCTTATTTTCAGGTGATTATATACAAAAGAAAACACACTTATTAGATTATATTCCATGTCTGCCAATATATCCTCCTAAATCCTACACACTGGATCTTTACTATTTGTTAGCTCACAAAATTGGTCAACTGTCAGTAAAGCTTGAAATGGTGACATGGTGATATTTTTTGAATTCTTTCACTTATTTAAACTAAATAATGTACTATCATCTATTTTACATCTGTATCAGTATTATGAATGTTATTTCCTGATGACCCAAAAATGCTTTTTGGAGATAATGGTCTGTACAATCTACTTTAAGAAGCAGTGGTTTCCAACTGGTGGGTCGTGGGTCCATTCTGAATGGACTGCAAGTGACTAACAAACATGTCAAGTTTGTAAAAAATGCACTTTTTTTAACTACAGTGAATTTCCAGCGCAGAGTTTTTCTTTTGAAGTGCCGTTTCCTGCTGTAGAGTGACTGAATAATGGACAGCTACTTGACAAAGACAGCAAACTAGCCAGACGACGTGGCTGAACGCAAGTACGATATTAAACTACGTGGACCTTGAACTAAGGACTAAGGAGAAATCTGGACCCTGTGGCTGGACCAGTCAGGAAGCATTGACCTAAGGAATGCACTGATGTACCAACAATTAATAATGATCCTGTGTGTGGTGCACAGTACCTCTTCGCATCCACCTTCCTCTCCTGCCCTCTCCTGCGATGGCACTGCTGTTGTTTTCTGTGCTTTGGGAGTCAGACAGATTGTCACTGCTCTCCTCGGAGCCCTTCTCAGACAGCTCCTTCACCACATCTGAGATGTCTTTCTACATAAAAAATAGAGGACATGGAGTAAATGACCTTTATTTTATAGGTACAGAAAAAAAGGGCCAAGCAATTACCAGAATGAATGATTACAAGTGATCTTTTACTTAAAAGTCACGACACCAGAGAAAGCCGCTTTGTGTCGGACGAACCTTTAACGTGTAGACACCCATTCTTCCTGGAACTTTGTAGAAGATCCCCTCCTCACCACGAGAGTTTGTGTGCAGCATTGCATTCAGACATGCCAGCGGCGAGGTTCCACTGGATCATAAGAGAAAAACGCAAATTACACATCTGTTGCCCAATAAATCAGACAGCTGGGAGAAGACGCAAGAAGGGTAAAGGCTGCTCTGATATCTGGGGAGAAATAACTTCACATAACAAATAATCATGTATCAATACGACACACGAGTTCAGGTCGGATTCACATCACTGTATTTGTGGGACAATTTTCTGAATGTTTTAATACAGTATCAGTTGCATAAAAGTGATTCAAGGCTAATCTCATCATCGTAAACAGCTGATAGTCTCAGATTAAATTGCTCTGACATAACTGTGTCTGTTGCGTAAAAATCTGCTCTAGTTAAGTCAAACATTTTCTAAGCAAACTTGAGTTAATTAAGGGTGCACAAGAACGCCGTAGCAGTCATGCAAGAGATGCATCCAGAGGTACATAGTGAAGCAAATGTTATTGAAAAAAAAAAAAAACGTGTCATCTTACATTTGTGTTATTTCATACAGTTTAACACACGCTATATTACTTAGTGTAAGGCAAAAAGTTTAGTATTAAAACACATTCAGATTGAGAAAAATGCAACATCTGTTATTCGTTTAGAAAATCACACTGGTGGGGCTCCAGATATCGCCAGCCAGATAATTTATCTCATTAAATTTATACCACGGCTACATTCTTTGGATAATATCATGTAACTGTGTTGAGCTTTTGCATCTAAAGAGTAAAAAGATCGCTGTCAGGATCCATGCTTTACTTTGTTAGAACTTCAGCTAATTTACCACACTGAAAAATCAATTTATGCAACAGGTGGCTATAACAAGTCTAGGTGAAATACAAGCGTGAGTCTAACACTGTCTTTATGCAACTGAAGGACATGTTATTGTTAATAACATGCAAAAGGTAAAAACCAAAGTGGCATTGCAGTGAGTTTGTTAAGATAAGGGGGTGGGGGGGGGGGGCTAGCTTTTTCTTACCTTCTGGATGAGAACAGTGACAATGAAACAAAAAGAAACGAAACAATTATTAATTGGGTAAAATAATCGTTACTATGTGAACAAGAAAAAGTGAAGTACATGATATGAGCAATCAATAACAGATGGAGAAAGCTGTGTGCTCTCTCTCTCTCTTAATGAAGATGTCACCTATATGAAGGGCATTTGCTGGAGTAAAGCTGTGATGCCAGGGAAAATGTACCTTATTTCTTTAAGCCGTTCTCTTTGGATCACCTGTAAGATCTCTTTATGGCTCATGGGCGTGTTAGGGTATTTCTCCAAAACCTACAAGAATAAAATATCATCATCAAAAAAAAATCATTATAACATTATACAGTTGAGTTATTTCAGTGGGACTGATTGTCATACAGTGTGAGATTACACATACTGAAGCTTTATAACAAGTTTCCACAGAGCATCAATTCCTACTACACCATACATGATGCTCAAAATATCCAAGACCACAAACATTGCGGCTTTTTGCCTTTAATAGATTTAGATTTTCTGCTATAGTGTAGATCCACTTCTCTGGACAAACAGCTTAGTTTATTACTAAGTTATAATTTTCACATATGGCTGGGGGACTGTCATCAACAAGACTACTTGAAATTAAACAGACAAGACGGAGGTTCTGATAATTGCTTTAGATTGTATAGCTTCAAAGGTCACCCAGAGTATCGGGTCCCTTTCGTCAGCTGTACGTTCAAATTTTAAGAATCTTGGTGTTATTTTTGATCAGGCCATGCATTTAGAAATATTGCAAAGCTCAAGTCTGTGGTGTGTTGACCTGAGCTAGAGATGATTATCCCTGCTTTTGTGTCCCCCCCGACTGAACTACTGTAATTCTCTTTTTAATTGTCTAAATAAATCTTCTCTGAAGCGTCTTCAAATCATCCAGAATGCTGCTGCTAGGCTGTTAACCAGGTCCAGTGGGACAACCCATATCACTCCCATTTTAGTTTCTTTACACTGGCCTCCCACCAGGTTCAGGATTCACTTCAAGATACTTGTTGATACTTGAGGTATAGTCTTCCCCGGTCAGGCACCTGAATACATCATCCATATATTGTCAGTAGGTCCCTTAGGTCTTCTGAACAGGACCTACAGTACTGGCTGTCTCCACTCCAGACTCAAAACAAAAGGTGACTGCGCCTTTTAAATAGTGGCTCCATCACTTCAAAATGGCCTAAATTGTCCAGTGTTTGTTCCCTGGTATGTTTCTGTTTGGGGTCTCAGGAGCCTGTATTTGCTCTATGTTTTACTATCTTTAATATGTTATACTGCCTTTGTTTTTATTGATTGCATGTTTTATTGTTTGTATTTTGTGAAGCATTTTGTGAATTTCATTTCTGTGAAAGGTACTCTATCATGTAAAGTTTATTATGTGATATTATTGACACACTAGTATGTCATAATATGAACAGGGAATGCAGCAGGATCACTTTAATAAACGTTAAATTAACATTATCTGCAGCAAAACATGTCAACAAAAACGATCTCACATTACAGCTATCCTACAGAAACTTTTCCTCCATCATAAAAAACACATCTAATATTAAACAGACGATGCTACTTTATTTTGCTCCTGCACTGATTACATTTTATATCGTCTGTCCCCACATTACTGCAGTATGATTAGCATCTCGTTCAAAATGGACTTTATAGGTGTTTAGAAACTAACCATATTACAATTAACTACCTACTGACTTATAGCTACGTTATGTGAGCAAACTTGTTTAAATAAATAGCTCATCAAAGCGTATGTATCGCTGGAAAATGGATGTCCACACAGGCAATAACGTTACGCTTTAATTATGAAATACTTATTAGGAGTTTTTATATGTTGTAGTCATTAGCATGCTACGCTAGACAGCTAGCTACAATGCTAGCAACATTCATTACTGTATTGTGACATCTCGCCAAACGTTGGCATGCAATACACTAACTTGGTGGGCTAGTGTGGAGTTAAGGGGACGTATGGGGATTGATTTAATATGGATACTGTTCGTTTCGCTGTGTTTTATTTGCAGCTGATATCAAACAAACTTGTTGACGAACTCCACGTTAGCAGGAGCTAGCGTGCTAACCTGGCTAGCGCGCAACACCGACGTGCTTACTTAACGGTTACTTCATTCGACTTCAAATCGTGACAAACATGTCAGCGGCACCGTGTGGAGACAACACACAGGGGGGTTTTGGGAAGATGCTTGGGTGCACACAGCTGACAGTCACCTCGCTCGCATTTATGCTCAGCAGTGACAGCTACACGGCTAGTGACAGCGGTCCTCCAAATGTCTAACCGTCAACACGGGCCTTGCGCGGTGTACGCAACATCTCGTCTCTACTAGCAGGTCATGAACTCATAAACACGGTTGCACAAGTGGGAGCGTTCAAGGAAAACAACCACAACAAACGGCAGATAAAAACACCAAGAATACCGTCTTAGCGGCTTCCGCCCACGTCCTCCCCTTCTTTTTCTTCTGTCTCTCCGTCATTGTGGATGTCTTGTTGCACAGTAGTGTTGTTGAATTAGTCTGTTCCAGTTGAAATGTTGCTTTAGTTACCGCGTAAGATCCACTCCGTCTGCCATGTTGGACTTACTGTAAAGAGTCATGTGACTCCCAAGGAAACGTCATCTTACTGTATAAAGCTGTCACTGCAAAGTCTTCAAGTTTCCCCCCACACATTTATAAAGCTGTCAACTGCAATTATGCCCAGGATCACAGCAGCTCTTAATACAGTAGGCAGTTCAAGATCATTTCAGAGTTTATTTTCATGTGTAAGCAAATGGACTTCGCACAATTTCACAACTATGAAAAAATAAGGCAGCTAATCAAGAGAGCATTTGCAGGCTTTCTTCACATTTTTGGCTCACGGTTACATTAGCTAGAAATTGAAGCAACAATTCATCAAGCATACAGGCTAAACCAGGGTGGCCCCCCTGTGGTCGGGGCCCTCAATTCCCCCCATCACTCACTGTTTTGGCAAAGACCAGATACCTTTCCAGAGAAAAAAAAAGTAAATGGAAATATTATCAAATTAAAAATAGGATCCTTTAAACAATTTACCACATGTCTGATTTTAGAAGATTACATTTTGGCTGGGGCGGCACAGTGATGCAATGGTTAGCATTGTCGCCTCACAACAAGAGGATTTCTGGTTCAGTCCTGGGGTGGTGGAGCCCTTCTGTGTGGAATTTGCATGTTGCATGTCAGTATGGGTTTTCTCTGGGTACCCCGTCTTCCTCCCAGTAAGGTTAATTAGGTTAATTGGTGATTCTAAATTGGCCATGAGTGTGAATGGTTGTCTGTCTCTATGTGTCAGCCCTGTGATAGTGTGGTGACCTGTCCAGGGTGTACCCAACCTCTCGCTTATTGTCCTCTGGGTTAGGCTCCAGCCCCCCCTGCAACCCCCAACAGGATAAGTGGTTACAGAAAATGAATGAATGAAAGTTTTGGCTGTGCTATTCATTGAGTCTGGGTTAAGTTAAGAGAAACTACGTGATTTTTAGGCAACTGTAGACAAAAATAATGTTAGTCTTCCCAATTAAATTGAAATTGAAATAACAATTTATCAAGCATACAGGCTAAACCAGAGTTCCCCCATCACCCTTCACTGTTTTGGCAAAGACCAGATACATTTTCGGAAAAAAAGTCAATGGAAATGTTTTCAAATTAAAAATAGGATCCTTTAAATAATTAATCATATGTCTGGTTTTAGAGGATTACGTTTTAGCTGTGCTATTCATTGATTCTGGGATAAACCAAGAGAAACTACATGGTTTTTAGGCAACTGTAGGCAAAAGTAATGTTTGTCTTTCCCGTTAAGCTGAATACATGCTTACTCAAATGATTCTTTCTCACAAAAAGGTATGAAATCAATTTAAAATAAAGGCATAAAACACCCCCCCCCCTCTTCTTGTGCCACCTTAAACTAAGGCCAGCCCTGTGTACAGTAGTTGTCTTGGCGTGTATCAGGGACTTGTCTGAATTGGATCTAAACATGGAAGATAGGCAGCTGAGGATGGTCTTTGTCTCTGAGAAGGAGAGAAGCTCTGAGATGCCGATGTCAGAGTAGTGGAGGATGAGGATGATGGGATGGATGCTGCTTGTGGTGCCTGATACCTGTAGACCATAAAACAAACAGGTTCAGTTATTATTTAAGAAGCGATATGTTTCATTTTTACTGTCCCACACCACAAAATACCCAAATGTATCTACAGGAATGAATAGGGTCGATCAATAGCAATATATTATTACATATTTCATGAGGTACTGAGACTTGTGGCATTTAAAATTCTATGCCAGTGGATTTGCATGTAAGAAAAAGCCTTTCAGTTGGGGGGAGATTGGTAAACAGAAATGTAAAATGCAAGTGGTTTATAGATAAAGGGGAAAAGCATGCAAAGAGACAGTTCACACCAAAATAAATACATATTTTCCCTCTTACCTGTAGTGCTATTTATCAGTCTATATTGTTTTGGTGTGAGTTGCTGAGTGTTGGAGATATCAGCTGCAGAGATGTCTGCTTTTCCTCAAATATGATGGAACTTGATGACACTCAGCTTGTGGTGCTCATAGCGCCAAAAAATTACATTTGAAAAAATCAACATCAATGTCTCTTTCAAGAAATCATGAACTGGTTACTCAAGATAATCATCAGACCTTGTTGTGTGCAGTTTCATGTAGGGACTATTTTCCTTCTACTGAACTACACCTGCCGACTGTGTCACAGCATAGACGGAAGCATGCATCTACTACTAACGCATCTAGCACTACTGAGCTAGCTAATGTTACTTCAGCTGAGGAAGACGCCATTAATGTTTCCATCTTGAGCTGTCTTGAGCCTGAGCCTCTCGTCCATGAGTAGATGCACACTTCCTCCTGTGCGGTGATACGGTTGGTGGATGTAGTCCAGCAGAGAGAAAACAGTTCCCACATGAAACTGCTCACAACAAAGTCTGTGGATCAGCTTGAGTAACCAGGTCATGATTTCTGCAAAGAGACATTGCTGTTGAGTTTTCAATTTATTTTTTATGTTTTACTTTTAGTGCACCGCAAGCTGTGTTCCATCAAGTTCATATTGGAGAGAAGGCAGACATCTTTACGACCGATACCTCCAATATGGAGGTATTTTTGTGTCCTTTTGTTGCAATCATATAAAACTGTTTTGAGAGCATATTTCTTGAACTGCAATCAAAAATCAAGTTTGTAAGTAAAAACATGTGATCATTTTGCTTATAAATCAGTCCTCTTTGCTCGCAAGCTAAAAAGTTTTGCTTGCAAATCGGTCCTCTTTGCTTGCCAGTTAAAGTTTTGCTTGCAAGTTCAACTGCACCAGTTCAAATAAAACATTCTTGCTATTTATAGTGGCTTCCTATGTCACTATCTGCGCACACTGGTCTGAAGGGCTTGTACGCATGCCAGTGTAGGCCCACAGGTACTGGTGTAAGTGCACTAACACAGTAAAAATGTCCAAACATTTGCTTTTCCTTTTGTGCTGATTTATTGTGTACAGCCGAGGCAAAGTATAGACTGCTTTACCCAATAATAACATGTTTCAATAATGACTTAACTTACAAGGATACTCTGACCTGCGGCACTACACGCTATGGCATGGTCAAAAACCGTGTGGCTTCCCCAGCGTGCGCACCTGCGCTGATTAGCCAACCTGATTATATAGACAGCAAACCACAAGCCTGAACAGATACTGCCACCTACTGGCACAAATGTGCACAACACCCACAAGCAAACAGATAATGAACATCCTGGCTCCTACACTATCATTAGGCCTTGTCCACACAGACCCGTGTACTTCTGAAACCGTGTATTATTCTATGCAATTTGGCTGTTTGTCCACACGCAACCGCACTTTTGGGCCCCCAAACCGCATTTCTTTGAAACCGGAGTCCAGGGTGAAGTTTTTGGAAGACTCCGGTGCCTCCGGTTGCGTGTAGAAAGGATAACCGCAGTATTTTATTACCAGTCTCCATTGTTTGACGTCAGAGCGACGGTAAATAGCTCTTTTCTAAAAGTTTACTAACTACTACAATCCCACATCCAGTGTTAAATACAATGTATCTTAACTATATTTACAATGAAGCTTGATTCTGCACTCTGCACTTAGCCCGTATGTGAATGTTTACCGTTGCTATGGCAACAAGTGACAGCTGACGTTAGCGTTAGTTAGCTTATCTCAAAAAAAAAAACACGAAAGCTGCTTTCGTGGTAGTGTAGTTGGTCGTTCAGGCGTCTCTGCTGTTGAATTAGGTCGTGCTTCTTTTGTGGATCGGGTTGTTTTTATTTTCCGCACTTCCCTATTCAGGTATTGACTCTGACTTCTGATTGGTTAAAATGGCCTTTCCATTAGAAGTTACTTCGCCACCTACTGCTTTGGCATGTGTATTACATCACTTGGTAGCGGATTATGCGGTTTCATGTGGATGTATTTTTTTAATCACACCACTCGTGTGGACGATTTTTTTTTTTTTTTTAAACCGGAGCCCGAAAAACTTCGGTTTCAGAATTGATTTTCGCCACAGCTCCCGCACTGAATTCCCGATGAACTACAGAACTCCCTTGTTGCTTTGCAAGCGTACTAGGCTGATGAGTAGAATTTAAGAAACAGGCTAAATGACATGATGTTGCACACTCTTGTACAGTAGGTGGTGGTATGCACCTTTAAATTTGTTTTCAATCTGCCAACCGAGAGAAGAAAGAAAAAAAATGCTTTGCAAGCTGTCATTCCGATTGAGACTGGCCAACAGAGACGTGTCTTACAGCTTTCAGTTTAGGCCCCGCCCACCAGGTTCAACTTACTCGCAAAACCTTTTGACTTGCAAACGGAAAAAAAATGACTCCCAAACAAAACTTTAGGATTTGCAAACAAAACTTTAGGATTTGCAGTTTTTAATCAATCATTTTTTACCTGCAATAAAACATTTTTTGCTTGCAATATTGATACTTTTGCTCTCAAACCTTTTTTTTGATTGCAAAACCTACTCTGTTTGATTGAATAATAAAGAAACAAATGTAGCTCCATACTCCAACACATGCAACTCACACCACAACTATCTAAACTGATGAATAGCACTACAGGTAAGAGGGAAAATGTGTATTTTTGATTCAGGGGTGAACTGTCCCTTTAACTGACAGTTTAACTGTCATAACTGTATTTAAAAAAAAAACTAGGACTGACCCAACATAGGGGATGGCGCAATTACAAATTTTAGCACACTTTATGACAGCTCTTCACGTAACTTTTCTACTGCAACGTTCAGTCCTAAATTAATGCCCCTAAAAAAAGGATATTTAAGCATCTGTAAGCATCTGTAAGACTTCTGCCTTATTCAGCTGCTTTCTCACCAGGATTGAGACTTCCTGACCCGTGACGATGCTGTGCTCCTCTCTCTGATCGGAACAGTTACCAGGAGATCCCGCATCAGCCTGGGAGAAAAGGCTCTCTCCAGGTGAGCGCCATTAAGGTTCAAGGTGAACATGGTCGGGGGAGACATGTCTAACTCCAACAGCATTATGTTCTCAGCCTGTGCGGACAGATACAAGTGAAGATGTTGTTATAACAGAATAATGGCATCTGCAAATGCATGTTTTTGTAAGAAGTCTCCCTTAAAGCAATAGAGCGTGGACTTTAGCTTGGCTGGATTGTTGTACTGTTGTCTTACAATTCTTATATTACTACGGTCTGTGGAAATCAAGTTTCCCCTGACCTTAATTAATTAGTAAAGTGACTGTTTTATTCTTTTTACATTGTGATATTAAACTGTTGGTTCACTGGCTTAAGATGCAACAGTAAAAGCTGTGAATGGTTTCCATGGCTACAACCATCTTCACGTTCTCCAGCTCCAAGAAGGAGGCTGTGAACATGGACACAAGGTGCATCTCATCTCCATCTCAGCTGTACTTTTTACCAACTGTCCAGGCACTGACCTGGTATCGAGATGGGGCCCCGGTTGCTGTGGAAACAGCCATCTGTGCATATTGGCTGATTGGCCTCTTGTATCCCACGGCTGAGAGAGGTCTCCTCTTGACCTGAGTGGGTGCACTGAGATAAAGACGTGGGAAAAGAAGGATTTAGATTCAGTTTAATACACATAGCGGTTAAGACGCAAGCTTCTGGAACCTCATGCACCCCATATATGGTCAACTGATGAACTCCCACCAGAATAATCCCCCGTTATCTCCTCTGTTATCTTCCATTCAGCTTTCCAAATGTCTCAGGAAAGAAAAATATCAAGGCTGACTGGTCTCCTTGATATAAAAATATCTGTTTCCTGGAGCAGCAGTGGATTTTTCTGTCTCTATTGCACCACTTAACTGACTGACCTCTCTGGTGGAAGGACCGGCTGGAGCCTCCACTGATCCTCCTCACTGTCAAAGTGCAGCCTGTTCATGATCTTGTTCTTTTCCTCTGGAGGTATAAAGTTCTCAATCAAGAGATATCTGCAACGTGAAATACAAGTATGTGTTAGCTGGCATCACAGGAAGCACTCCATTAAAACAACAAAATCAAACTAAATAGTTTAACTACCTTCCAAAGAGTAAAACATTACTAGAATAAATGTAATAAAAAAATTTTCCCTCCATTTGTATAAAAAAAACACAAATAAAAGTCATCCAGTAACACTGTACCAGCAGATGTTTTTTTGACAGTCATCCCTCTGTTCATTAGTATTAATATAGCACCAAACCACTATTTGCTACATAAGGATTTTGTGAAGTAATGGTGCCCTCATCAGGGAATGAAGTCACACTATCTGTGTGTGTGTGTGTGTGTGTGTGTGTGTGTGTGTGTGTGTGTGTGTTGTAATCCAAGCTTCTCTGTGGTTTGTTGTGGTAAGTCAGGTAAGTGGTAAATTAACTTGGAATGAGCCATTTAGCCATTCCTTGTTTTCCCTGGATTCCCTGGAAATCAATTAGGAATTAATAAAGTATCTATGTATGTATCTTTCTATCCGTCTGTCCGTCCGTCCGTCCGTCCGTCCGTCCATCTGTCTATCTCTGCATAGGGAATGGGTCCTCATCTACAGAGATCACCATGTTGCACAACTATGTTTCTACAGTAGCCAGAATGGACAAACCACACACTGGCTCTAGACAGGGCCATTCACGTTTTTGCATTGACCACCGTAGTTAGTAGCCCCTCTGCGATGACGGCATCAGAAAAACCCAGATTTTTCAACATGAAACTGCTTTATGAAGTGTTTCTACCAGTTTATATCACTGGGTCCATTTGTTTAGGAGAGGAACAGACCAGATAATTCGGCTCCTGGTAAAAATCTCCTGAACGTCTGGATCTTAAATTAAAAAAGGTGAGCACAGATTAGCAGATCCTAGACAAACAGCTTGCCTCCTACATGCCAAACAGCCTCAGAGAAAAACTGATTTGTAACATCACACCATTCTGTTCAATGCTTTCACTTGTTTTGGAAAGAAGGAGACCTCTGTGATTAGTTTGGCTCTAGGTAAAAACCTCCTGAACAATGAATACTGGAGGAATCCTAACCAGGAGAAGTTTAAGATGGCTGCAATCTGCAATCCTCACCGCTACATGCAACTAAATCCCCCTAAATCTTACACACTGGACATGCACAGGAATGATGGATATCAAATACAAAGCCACATATGATGGTGATGAGACAACAAGACAAAAATAACACTGTGTACAGTGTATGAGCTCATTCACTAATGTGATTACTTACTTGTACTTGAGTTCTCTGGTGAGTTCAGTCTGTGTCTGTTCAAGCTCCTGTCTGGTTATGACGTGTTCATCGATGACATCTCTCATCTCTGCCTTTACTAACTGTAGTTTGGCGTACAGCTGTACAGAACAGGGACAAATTAATGTCAATATTATTATTTGTGTTGGTACTGGTGTACTAGAAACGAAAGAATGCAAAGTATATTCACTTACTGGGCCTGCACAAAATGAAACATTATCAAAATTGCAATACGGCCAAGTGCAATATGAAAATCACAGGAGCTGGAAATTTTTGAATATGGTAAATCCTGTCACAATACAATTATAAACGAAAGCATTATGGTGTTACCGAGATGCCCTGGTCGGTCTACTAATCATATGCCAGATGTAAGGGAACATGCTTGTTTGGTACAGACCCCATTAAAAGTCACATCATCATCATTTTTAGATTTTTTTTCAGTTAAAATTTAACTGCAAAAACTACCATTCCCACTTAAATCACAATTCATACTGCAGTATCCGTCATAATAATCACAATATGTATTTTTTTTAGCATCAGTTGCCAAGTGTTGACTCCGCAAACCACAAAAGAGCAATGTAGTTATTCCCAAACACAAGGAAGTAGCAGCTCTGTCCAGAGAAACCTGGACTCATTGTGTTACTTCTCCTTGTGACATCTCTCTCGAAAAAAAGGATTCTCAATTGCAAATAAATGATTAAGTTCTGATTAATTGCTGTCTTCATAATAGCATGGGGACACGTCAGCTGATGAGTCATCTTACCCTCTTCAGCTTTTTTGTCTTATGTTCCACTTCCTGCTGCAGGGAGGAGAACGTCTCTTTCATTTCTAAGGTCTCCTCGTCCTGCAGCATCATCTGCTGCTGGATCTCTCGCTCTCGTCTTATCTGCAGATTGCACAGAACATTCGGCTCCATTCAACATGATTACAAACAGGACACCATTACAAATGAAATTTATCTTTCTGTGTAGGTTCAGACAGCCCATAAATATGCTGTTACAATGAATGATGACACAAAAGTGTGTTTCATAGTCAGAAAGTATTATATATTATTGTTTTTTTTTTTACTTACCTGTTCTGCAATCTCTTGCCTCTTCTGCTCCAGCATCTTTTGCTGTTCATTGGTGTGATCAATGATCGTCTTTCCTCCCACTAACAGTTTGCTCTCCATAGCCTGTGAACAAAGACATACAATGAATTATTTATGTAAATTTCTTTTGTGTCTCATTTGTCAGACACTGTAGTGTATTATTAAGAAGTCACATGGTTCACACGCACCTTATATTTCTCAATGATCTTCTCCAAAGCATCCTGATCCCACTGCATGTCCACCACACTTTTTCTGTTCTCAACCAGGTGCTTTAACTTCTCACCGCTCCCCTGGCAGGTCAGAGCCTTTGGGACGTCACTTCCATCTTTCACATATGACTTCACCTCTGGTTCGTTATCTAAAGCCTTCCACACCTCTGCATCCCTCTCTTTGAGCATCTCCTCCATACCAGCCATACTTTTACTCAGCCTTTTGCTATTCCTCCTCCTCCTCCTCTCCTTTGCCAGCATCCCTCGCTCCTCTAGTTGGGCTTTCAAGCGTGCGATCTCCTCCTGGAACTCCCTCAGCAGGGCATCTTTGGGGTCCTCATTAATCCGAGGTTTGTTCTTTATGTTCTTGGCCCGGCTGGCGTACCTCAGCGTGGCCAGGGATTCTTCAAAGTTCTTGTGCGATGGCCCCACTGTTGCTATCATGACCGTCTTTGCGTTGCCACCCAACGAGTCCTGGAGCAAGCGGGTCAGTTTGGAGTCTCTGTAAGGGATGTGGGTGCTCTTCCCATCCACCAGGGCAGAAATGACATTCCCCAGCGCTGAGAGGGACAGGTTGATTTTGGCTGCTTCCTTTAGCCGCTTCCCCTTTGCACCTGTCTTGCTCTGGCGCTCGCTGCCAGCCAGGTCGACCATGTTGAGCTTCCCAACGCGGATGTGGTCCTCGCCATCTGGCCCTACTTCACTACACTCCACGGTTATGACAAAAATGGCATGAGACCGAGAGCTGCGTTCATTCATGTTGGTGAACCCCACAGACCTGGACTGGTTGCCTATGTTCATCACATGTTCAATCTCGGTGGCGTTCTTTGTGACCACTGAGGACAGATCTTTCACATAAACACCTGAGTCAGGGTTTTCTTTCAGCTCCAGTTTCTTATTGTTATCTTTGCACAGCAGATCTCTGATCTCCTCCTGGTAGATCTCAAGGTATGATGACCTCACCAGGTACTTCTGATTCTGAGTCCTGGATATCTGTGTGAAGATGTGGTGAAATGAATTTGGTATAACCCCTCTCATGTCTGGGTCGTTTGACACCCCCTGCATGGTGTGTGTTTTACCTGTCCCAGTCTGTCCATACGCAAATATAGTCCCGTTGAAACCCTGGAGCACGGACTCCACCAGAGGTCTCACAGCATCGTCATAAATGTCGTTTTGTTTTGAGCCCCAGCCGTACACGGAATCAAACGTGAATACTTTCATGGGCTCATCAGGTGGTGCCTTCGGGTTCCTGATGGTGATCTGCCCTAGTCTGTCGTCAATATGCAAAATGTTTTCACAGTCGGCTGTCTCCTCTCTCCTGCTGAAGGGCCGGCAGCGGACCACCACCCTCACCGCCTCGCAATGTTTGCTTTTAGACATTTTGCTCATGAATTTAAAAAAAAAAAAAAGTATCCTCACCACGTCAAAAAGCCATTTTCTCAGGCGGGGTCCGCAGTGTGTCTTCCTCCTCCGTACAGGTGCAGCAGCTTTAGTTTCATTTAGTGAAAGCGGTCAGACACACCTCATTTGCGCCGCTTTCATCATCCTCGTCTCCTCCGCCCTGAGCATCTTCCAGAAAAGAAGCGATGTCACAGGATATTCAAGGATGCTGCTGCTGCTGAGGAAAAACACCCAGCCGCCCCGGCCCAGCCCACACAGCCTCCCCGCGGTACACACCCTGCTCTGCGGACAATGGAGATAAGACATGTGACCTGCGCGACGAATGGGATTGGAGCAGATCTGCTCATGGTACACAGCTATGGTCTCATTCTGTAACCGTGATAAATTACCCCCCCCCCCCCGATAGCACTTGAACGCACCTTGAGAAAAAAAGCAGCTTTGAGTCAATAACAAAGTTTTATTCAGGCTTCACATTTACAACATTGTTCAAAGCAGGCCATGAAGACTTTAATGTACAAAAAAAGCCAGTCGCTGAATTATACTGGTAGACATTCATCAATACTGAGGAATTTACTGCCAGTTGGAAAATGTTGTCTTTTTCCTCCAGTCTCTTTACATCTGCAGTGTGTGAATAATTAGCATCCATCAGCTTCTCAATCTATACATCATTATCAAGTAAATCAATAAAGTTACAAAAAAAAGGAACATCCAATATTGCTGATATTACACACTCAGTTGCCACTCTGTTAGTTGCACCTGCTAAAACAAGTACAACAGTCCTTTAATAATTCTTAACCATCATAAGTCATAGTGTTCATGTTTTTTTTAGGCTTAGGACTGCTGTATTAGACTGCATTATTTTTAACAAGGCGTACCTAATAAACTGGCAACTGAGTGCATTTTCATTATGTATACCACCACTCATGTTAGGCACATTCTAGTGGCAGACTGGAGTTTATTAAAATCTACTGGCACACATGGCAAGTCGGTCACTTGTGAAATTTCTTGCTTGGATCCTTTGCGTGATCCAGGAGGAGCTGGCATGGCGTGAACGGCATTCCATACACGGCTTCGTATCTCCTCATCTTCTCCACCAGCTTGTCGGCACCAAAGCTGTCCACGAAACGGAAAGGGCCTGGAAAAGTTGAGATGTGTTAGCTGATGATGTTATCACAGCATACATGTTAAACTAAGTAGGGATGTTGCTTGGGGCTCGTTTTTATTCCACTGTGAAAAGCTATTCTAGAAACATTAAAAGGGAGGAGAGGTTTAAGTAAAGAAATTCTGTACTTTCCATCATCCACCTGGACCCTAGATTCCCATGGGATTTTTTTTAATCTTAAGCCCTTTTTAACACAGGGATCACGCTATAGGGCCGCTATGAAGTCCCTTCTTTATGCTGCCTTTGCATTTTTACACAGAATCAAACAACGGCAGCATCATGCTGCTCCTCTGTGTGATTTTAGATAGCATCCAAGCATCACAGAAGCAAAAGAGGCAGGCTTTACATATAATACAACAGCGCCAAATTCTAGTATGACATACAACATACATGTCTGCAACGCTGTATAAACAATAACAATGGCAATAACCATTTGCCGACCCTGTTATATGGCGGCTGATCTCATCCTCTGCTTGGAGGGTAAGGAGCTCCCAAATCTCATTGTTTTCCCAATTTTCGGTCATTTTGGCCCACTGTTCCTCTTAGAGTTAGCTGCTAACCGCTACCACCTGCTTTTTTTTAATCTCCCGTGGGTCACACACATAACACATCTTCAAAACATTGTTGTTTCAGCGCTGTTACTACCTCTGATGCCGGCTTAAAGGTAAGACAACTCTGTCCCCCATCCCACAATTGTATGTTTGATAGAGAACGACGAGGCAGAATGACAATGTAATATACTTTAGGGGGCAGGTAAAGGGGGCATAAGTGACCTATAAGGACAATTTGTGCAATTGGTCCAATGTTTAGTATAACTGCTAGTCGCAGCGGCAAAACTGGCTGCAGTGTAATCCCTGCAACTGTGCAATGTCAGTCTACATCCACTAGAAGTGCTTGTTTTTGCCACTGACAGGCCTAGAATGTTATTATGCATGTCTGACAAAATTATGGAAAGGATCCCTGCAGACACCCTAAAATGCTTTATCACCACAGTTCCTGAACTTTCAAATTCATGCTTAACATAAAACTAAAGGACACCCTTTATGCTCTTTCCATTGACAGAGGATGCAGCCTCAGAGCACAGGTGGCTCAGAAGACCACGACTAGGACTGAACTCTGACCTCCAAGGCAGGGGGGGAATCCCAGCCCGAACACAGCCCCGATGTCTCCTTCCAAAGGGCTGTTCAAAATGCCCTCCTGCAAACACAACACGGCCTCATTGACGAATCGGGACACGAGCCTGTACTGCACGTCAGAATCTGAGAAACTGTAAAGAGATTCACAAATAAGAACAGAGTAATTAAATAGTGCAGCATTTCAAAATGTAATCACTGTAAAATGCAATATAATACAAAGGCTTAATAGGTCTTGTTTCATCTATCAGAAAGTTCTTTTAAAGTAACAGAAGAACCTATTTGTCCAAAAGAGTGCACGTTTATATTTGGAATGATAATAATAAAAGACAAGGCACATAGGGCGATTGAAATCACAACATTGCTACTTTTGTGTCAACTTACACAGCAGGATTTGGGGTCAGTCTGTATTTCTCAATGATTTCTTCGAATCCTGGGTTCACTTCTCTGACCTTGAGTCCTTGCTGGTAGATGAAGAGACCCTTTCCTGATTTGCGGCCTTGAGAATAAAAATAAAAGGATAATACATATTAATAAAACACATAACTTCAAACTCAAGCGCTTTCTAAAACTAAAACTGGCCATGATCCTTCAGTGTGACCACCCATACCCATGAATCCCTTGTCCAACATCTCTTGCAGAATCGCTACATTTCCACCATGAAAGCGGTCGCCAAAAGCACCGCCAAGTTCGTCAGCCACATGGATGGCTACGTCAAGACCAACTTCGTCAGCCAGTGTGGCCCCACCCACAGGGAACCCCAAGGTTGTGGTGAGCACATCTAACTTTTTGGGGTCAATTCCTTCCTGTAGGTGCAAATGGATAAATTAATCATATGTATAACAGCTATCCCAGAATAATGAATATGCTTCATTTAAGTGAGCAGACTCTGTCCATCATAGGGCCTAAATCCTTACACGACAGTACGTTCACAGCTACATTTTTAAAGACTTCTATCCAATGAGCCACTGGGTGCCCCCACAGCTGCAGTTTAACTGTAGCAATACCACTAACCTGAAGTACTCGTACTGCTTCAGCCAACATGGGACCCAGACACCTTGTTGTATAGAATCCGGGTCCATCCTGTAAAGGAACGTGTGTGATATTTTACTTAAGTATAATAACATTTTAATTATTACCATGCATCATCATGATTGTCATGACTTCAGGCTACTGCTGTGATGAATATTTTTGCCGAATCACCTTCTAATCACTTTTTGGTCATTTATTGTCGTTTTCAGAAGTTACGGGCTGTGTCCACCAAAGCGTTTTTTTTTTTTTTCTGAGGCCAGCATATTTTTTTAATGCTTTGCAATGGGAGTGCTGTGTATTTACACTACCTTAGAAACACCACCAGCGTGATGAGGTACTGAGCATGAATTCTTCACTGACCACTGCTCTTTGGGGCAGAGCTGAAAAATGCTCAACTTTGGGTAAAATGCTGCGCTCGTTGTCACTTCAGCCGTTCAGTCACAGTGGAGAAGGAACTAATACCACTAAGACCAACCAGTAATACACATACATGTGCTGAACAATAACAATGGAGGAGACATAAGTGAATATCCTGTGTTTATGGTAACTGGTAAAATGGACTGCTTTCTAGTCCATTAACATACACATTCACACACTGGTGGCCGAGGCTACCATACATGGCACCATCTGCTTCTCAGTAACCATTCACATGCGCTCACACACTGATGGAACAGCCATCAGGAGCAATTTGGGGCTCAGTATACTTCAGGATTCAGGATAATTTGACGAGGAGCCGGGGATCAAACCCCCGATTTTCTGATTGGTGGGCAACGGCTCTACCTCTGAGCCACAGCCATTGCTATATGAATACATGTTTCCTCTCATAAACACAGATAGACCGACGGGTCCGTCCTCAGATGAAAAAAACGCTGTGCCTCCAAAATACTCTCAAATGCTCCCAGCTGGGCGTGTCCTGAGGAGGACCTGGCATTTTCAGCTGGGGAAAAAAAAAGCTTTGGTGGACACAGGGCCTTCATGCAGCAAGCAGAACTCCCACACAAAAACAAAAAAGAGATTCAGACTAGTCTGGATTTTAAATGTTTCTATTTGATACATTACAGGGCTGTACAGTCACTGAAAAATGTATAAAGTGCTTAAAGTGCAAACATTTGAATTTATGTTGGATTTTCTTTGGAGCAAAAAAGTAAATGTTTAAAGTTTAAATATTCATTGTTTGGTAACTACACAGGACAGAACAAACAAGATGCTTAATCTCACCTTAACGACTATGATGACTTTGCCCTGCTTCAGGCCAACTGCTACAGCAGACGCTGTGGTGTCGTTTGATGTTTGATCAGTGGTTATAATCTCCAGGAGCTGCATCTTGTCCACTGGAGAGAAGTAGTGCATTCCAATCACCTAAAGATACACAAAACATATTCAGCAATATTCAATTTTCATTTAGAAGCACTTTTGAACTACAAGGCTCTGAGGTACAAACCTTGTCTGGTCTCTTGCTGGCAGCAGCGATATCCTTGATGGGCAGACCAGATGTGTTGCTGGCAAATATGCAGTGAGGGGGAGCCACCTGCAGACAGATCATAGCGAAAAGTCACAGTTAAATTCATGGTGTCCTGGATTTAATACTACAAAAACAATATTTACAACAAAGGGAGCACATTCTGTCTGTGACAAAGGCCTATCAAGCCTGTTTTCAGTCACACTTACAGCCTCCACCTCCTTCAGAACTGCATGCTTGATGTTAAGGTCTTCAAACACAGCTTCAATAACCATGTCGGCCTTGTCAAAGCCGCTGTAATCCAGCGTGCCAATCAAGTTGGACATGATGGAGTCTCTCTGAAATGACGTGATGTTCTTCTTTTTGGTCTTGTCATTGAGCCTTGTTTAAAATAACACACAGATTTTAGGGTCCAACACAGTCATGCTACAAAATTTACAACTACTTTCAAATATGCTATTTCATAGCTGATTTGTAAGGTTATTCTGGTATTAGACCGGAACTATAGACACACAAATTACAATCGGGGTGTGACTTAAAACACTTACAGGTTCTGTATGTGACATTCAGAACATTAAGATAGCAGCAAACAACTATTTGCTTTGTAAAAATATAGAAGAGTACTGACATCCTGACCAGTGACTGAAGTCATGCTACCTCTGTGTGTGTTGTATTCTGCACTTCTCTGTCCGTTGTTGACGGTCCAGCTGTGTGTGCATGTTAGTGCATATGAGTATCTGTGAGTGTGTTCTCCTGGCAAGCTAATCACTGCTGCTCTGCAACACTCATACAGCTGTTACCACTGATATTGGGACAGAACCATGAGAACCATGTGCAGACAGACAACCTGAATCATAGATATGCTCTAAATGTTGTAAAGAACTCCCTTAAATACTTAACCCTGCTGTTTCAAAAACAAAACAACTAATATTAACATGCCTGACATGATGACCCACCCTTTGTAAACCTGCTGTTCTCCCCTGGCCAGTCCAGACACAGTGGTGTCCTTCAGGATTGTGCGCACACCTTTGTCCACAGACACCTGTGCAATACCTGCTCCCATCAGACCTGCTCCCAAGATGGCAAGAGTCCTGGTGGTGAACAACAAAAACAAACAGTTTATCTTCTACCTAAAAAAACAACAGACAAGATAATGTCATGTTTGCAATCGGTATGACAACAAGTGTATCAGAACTGGCTTTGTCATTAGTATTTATCCCTGACCAAACAAACTAATCTAAAATGTCAAATGCAGTTTGAGCATCCATCAAATCACACACAAGCTCAGCATGTGAAAGTGACGTACTTCACTTCTTTTTGAGGAGTACCAAAGCGGTTCTTCTTGCACGCGACTTGACCGTGGTAGAGACCAATCAGGGCTGCTGATTCTGAGGTTTTTGCCAACTGACCAAAGTTCTGTGACAAACATGAAAATTGGTGACATTCACTTACACAATATACTACTATAAATACTGAATTTGCCCATGATGTGGGCCAACAAACTTTACCTGAGACTCGGCTAAGTATCCAGCTGTGGGGCCCTGTTCAATTCCAGTCTTTGTGCACTGAGAGGGGGAAATAGTGAGAAAAAAAGGACACTTTAATTTCAAGTCATGTTAAATATGACAGAGGATTTCTCATAACAGTTCTCATATTAACAATCACTGGCCAGTGAGTGTTTTGTATTTTAATTGAAAATGAATTAAACATTAATTGATAATAAGTTTCTAATTATAAAGTTACTTCAAAACCATTTTCCACACTGAACAGTTGCACGCTGGTTGGGCTCCTCTTACTCCAAATGGCTAAGAATTTTAAATCTGGCTCATGTATTAAATGTCTCCAAATACATCCAGATTATAAAAAATAGTCATGGAGTTATTGCTTCATAGGAGGAATTTTTACTTACTTCGATTATTTTCAGAGGTGCTGGATAAAGTCCCTTGCTCTGCTTCATAACTTTACTGTGGACGGTTTTGTAAATCTGATTCCGCACAAACTGAAAGCTCATAACATAGTCTTGAATTTCTGTGGAGAAAAAACATTAACTCTTCAATGTAGTGTTTTGTTTTAATATATGATAAAACCAACTTAGGTGACTGCACAGAGTTAAATGCTCAAACGCAGCACAACTTACTCTCCATCTTGCCTTTCTCTTTGCGGAGGGGGATCTTCTTATTGGCGATCCCTCTGGCAAATTCGATGGCAACCTCCTCAAGGTAGTCTATTGTTCTCTCCTCTGGACTCTTCAGCCCAGGTCCTATAAGACAAGCAGAGAAAAGCATGAAAATAAAAAAATAAATAATAAAAATAATAACCAAAAGATCAAGTGATGCACAGTACAAGAATTTAAACTCATGTAGTGTTGTATTGAGTGGTGAATTACTGACTAAGGATTGTAAGTTCTACAGTTTGTAATACTTAAAAACTTATTATTATACGTGTGTTCAGATCACTCACCTAAGGTGTCTACAAGATGATTGACAAGCCCCATCTTCTTGGCTTTATCTGCTCGGATATTTCTTCCTGTCAGCATCATGTCAAAGGCAGTGGGTAGACCAACCTACAGGTAATAAAAGAAAACATATGTTAACTCTAATGTTATAAGCAGAGGTGATATAGTATTTAGAGATAATCCTGCACTGTGAAAGGCAGGGTTGTTGAATACTAGACATGACAGACAGGGGGAAATAATCTCTTTGCTGGTTTACATCTTAAACCAATTATGAGCATTACCCAGATTATTGTACATTACATCTTATTTCGGGTCTTGTCCTGACCAGAGATTAACACTACAATTTAAAAGTGGCTGCCAGGCTGGCAACGAGGTGTCAGCTTTTGGTTGTCGAAACTGAAAATACAGTTACCATTTTAAATCACCTTATGATATGAGTAATTAAGATGCTATGCAGGTATAAATAATGAAAAGTTAACATAATAGAGTTACCAAACAAACTTCTTTGTGGTTTGTGTTTTATATGTTTATTTACTTGATCTGAGCTATTTGTTTGGAGTCATCTTGTTCTTCCACAGTTGAATCAGTTTGCACATTTTGTTTGTGATGTTAACCGGTCAGTCGAGCTTTTCCCCCTACAGTCAAACAACTTTATTTGCTTCGCCTCACCGACACACGTGCAGAGTTGTCTGGTTATGGTTACAATTGATTGAAAAATTACTTTTTCCTCTATATATGTCCCCTAAAATGTGTGACCTTGGGGCGTCGGTGGATAAGTGGATAGAGCAGGCGCCCCATGTACAAGGCTGTTGCTGCAGTGGACTCCAGCCTGTGGCCTCTCTCTCTCTCTCTCTCTCTCTCTCTCGCTCTCCTATCCTATCAAAAAAGGCAAAAATGTCCTAAAAAATATCTTAAAAGAAAAAAAAAAGTCTGACCTTGACTATACTGACTCTTATCTGTGTCTGTCACTAGAGAGCTGTTTTCACATTGCTCTCCTGAAGGTGGTGATGTCTGCGTACCTCCCTAAAATCTGATATTCAAATGTACGCTGGGCAAGTTAAAATACATACATCACTGATACGAAAGCCAATCATTGTCTAATACAGGAAACACACCAGCAAAGAAAACTGAAAGCTCCAGCGCGGGGCATACTTGTCAGTACAGAGAGCGAGAGTTAGCATTAGCATAGTGAAATTTTTGACAACTTACATGGTAGAATGTGCAGTTTTTGGATATAAACCAGACCCTGGAGCTTCCTTCCACCATCTACCAAAACCTACATCTCAGCAGATATTATTGGAAGTTTCACAACCACTAACGCAGTGGTAACACTAATGCTCTTTTATTGGTCAACCAAGCCCTGGCAGTGCTGGAGCAAGTGGGAAATAGAGAACGAGTAAATCTGCTTCCAGCCACTTAACATAGGTTATTTTACTTGTAGTGTGGGAAATCCATGTTAAACAAATATTAGTATATTTACTTTAAAACGTGTCTGAAGAGGGACTAAAAATATCACTAATGCAAACAAAAAAACGTGTCTTACGGTGCACATTTTGCTGTTGCTGTCCCTTTTTACGTGTAATAAAATGTTACTGTCGAGACCTGCTGACACAAGGTACTATGTTATAACTATTTTAGGACACTTTCACATACTATGATCGGCATCATCCTGCCTGCTGTATAGTTCTTTTTTTTGTGGTTAAATATAGTCAAGTAATTCAAACAGGAAATTTAGGGAATATAAATCCAGCAGTAACCATTTTAGGAAGTCTCTGCGTGCCACCAGCTCCAGGTAGTAGACCCAGCATTACTTCTGGAGTACCAAGAACCGTTTTGCTGCTCTTTGTTGCAATTCTGTACTGGCAGGCGATGGCAAACTGGAATACAAAAAGAGCCCATGAGATAACACATTATTATCAATCATGCAAGTCCAACATTTCCAGGACTACCACACATATAGTTGCTTGCTGAAATAACTTTTGTTCACCTCTAAGCCTCCTCCTAAGCAGGAGCCGTTGATAGCCGCAACAATAGGTTTAGGAGATTTTTCAATCAGGTCGAACATCTTCTGCCCATCCTGAGAGAGTTTGGTGACCTCCTCGGGAGTGTTGCAGGACTCGATCATTCTGTAACAGATGTGAAGTATATTAAATGACAATCCAAGGCATGGCCATTTTGATCATTCATCCAAATATAATAAAAGATCTTAACGCTGACAATGCACTATACTAATTTGTGTTTCAGCAACAACGTTTTAATGTAGAATAACAGAATAGAATAATGTTTATTCGGACATGTTTAAAAGAAACAAACAAGCTTTATGCTAATACTTTATAAATAACACAGAAAGTCACAATTACATCACTCTTAAGTGCCACACACACTATTAAAAATCTAATTTAATGAGATTTCTCTTACTTAATATCAGCTCCTGCAATGAAGCATCCCGGCTTTGAGGAGATGAGGACAGCACTTTGAACAGCATTGTTGGCCCACACTTCACTCATGACCTCAGTCATCTCCTTTTGCATTTGGAGTGACAGTGTGTTAACCTGGAGGGGGGGAAATACCATTAGGTTCACAATGCACCTGCATAAATCATAAGTGATAAAGGCCACGCATTTTTTATAATGAGTGCACACCTTGGAGTCTGGGGCGTTCATCCTTATGACAGCAACATCGCCCTTGACTTCATAGTTCACGTGGGTTCGGGCTAAAAATAGAGAAGGAACATAATGTAAAGTGGGTGAATAATTGTGCCACTGGGCAGGCTGTCCTATTTTTATCCATATACTGCATGAAAGTGAATTTTTAAAGTTACCTAGCATTGCTGGAGCTACTGAGAAGGTGCGAAAAGTACCGCCTGTTAAAAAGGGAAATGACAGTAAGCAATACATTAAAACAGTTTAGTGTCTAACATACGTTACACGTCATCCGATCTGCTGCACACTGCCTTGCTGCCTGACCCTTACAGCCATACTAAACGCATTACATCAAGCCCTAAACACTGCATGTAAACAAACAGTCCTCATGCAACATACAGGTGAAGTCTACATGAGACGTGCATGTAATATAACCATGACCTCAGATGGTCTCGGACATGCTGTGCAGTCTAGTGGAAAATGACCCTTCACCTACATTCCTCTCCCATTCAGACAGAAGGCAACAGTGGCCAACACAATGACGAATCGGTAGCACACATTTCATACCTGTGTCTGACATGTCCTCAGGAGGACATCTTAAAAGTGGACGCTTCTTCCTGCTTTCTAACTTTAATATTGACCCAGAGGTATAACTTACTCGAGTCGGTAGCAGCCAGATGGCTAACAGGTTAGCAACTCTATGATTAAGTTTGCTCGCTAAAACAAAATGTTGCACTTTCTTGGTATATTCCAACTAAAATTTCATAGAGACATATGTTTCCCGAAAAAAACATCGATCACGGTGTTTGAAACACTGCCATAATTTTTTGCGTAACATTCCCCGGAGCTAACAGCTAGTCTAACAAGCTAATTACCCACTGACGGCACTTAGCAAATCCCGTATTTTCAGGATTATTCTCCGCTATTTTTCAAAAAATAAATAAATTTAGTTTGTACCTGTGAAGAGAGGATATCTCCTTGGTGTTAACCTGGAGAGAACACCAAGGGCTCGTACACCAGCCATCTTAGGAGCGGAGGTCAGAAGTGGTGTGGAGACAAGCTAGCTAGCTCGCTGTCAAAGTACTATCATTGGTACTTTAGAGGGAACCAAGACTTTGTGCTACTTCCTGAAAACCAGATGAGTCGGATCCTGATTGGCGCTCGCTGAATGAACCCGCATTCCATTGGCTGACTTTGTAGAACTCACATCTGATTGGTCGTTCAAAGACTACAAGATTCCTCTTAAAGCGAGACTGAAATGAACCAAACATCTGAACGCTGACAACTGGAAATCCTTTTATTTTAAAGTCACATTGTCATTCTAATATTTTTTTTGGACAAATATGACACACTGAAGTCACCACAGATGTATGCATACAAAAATACTGCAATGTAAAAAAATACTAAGTTTACTAAATGAAAGCAATAGCAGCATGCAACCACGAGGCGGAGGCAGAAATCAGTTTTAGAGACATCAAATCGAAACTGGGAAGATTAAATTGCCTTTAGCTATAAATATTTCTTGAAAATTTTTCATTGTTTCATTTAACTGTAACATATCTGAGACACCTTCAGGGTAAATACTTCTTACAGTAATTCAAGTATGAAAAGTTAAAGTCTTTTTGGGACTCTTACATTACAGTCATCATATTACCAAACAAAAAAGCTGTGAGGACATGTGAAATAAATCAGCAATGTATAGTTTTAATTATCCTTTTTGATATGTTATTATACTTTTATAATATTATAATTTTCTTTTTCTTAAATGATGTGTTTACCTGTTTGTTAGGGAATGTTTACTGTGGTCTACTTTATGTTCCTAAACATTTAACAATACATTTATTAAGCATTTTTTAATATATGATGTTAGATTTATACAAAAGCGATCTTATGTTTTAGTTACTGCTACTGCAAGCTGTTTTGCACAACAGTACAGTGTCTTACAAAAGTATTCACCCACTCGGTGTTTTACCTTTTTTTGTTGAATTATGGCCTGTAATTTAAATGGATTTTAATTTTATGGGGGTTTTTTTGTTTGTTTTCTTTGGTAATGGACCTACACAAAATAGTAAAAATTGGTGAAGTGAAATTGAATTTAAAAAATAGTTTTAAAATTTAAATAAATAAATGAATAAATTAACCAAAAAGTAGTGTGTGCATATGTGTTCAACCCTTTGCTATGAGGTCCCTAGTTGTGGAAGAAGTACAGATGAGTGATGGATTCTAAAAAGTATCTGAAACCTTTTCTTTTTTTTCACTTCACCAATTTTGACTGTTTTGTGTAGGACCATTACAAGAAAAATCCCAATGAAAAAATCGGTTGAAATTACAGGTTGTAGTGCAACAAAATAAAAAAAATTGCCAACGGGGATGAATACATTTGCAAGACACTTTAGATAATCATTCTGCACATCTGTGCAACTACACTGTAGTTGTCTACAGAATAAAGCCAAATGCAGATACTATAGGCAGACTGACTGAACAACACCTAAATATGCAAGATCAATACATCATAAAATCATCAGTCTGCTGCAAAGGTGGCATTTGCTGGGAGTAAAAAACCAAACTAAAATCATTTGGACCTATTCATGATTCAGATATCTGTGTGTCATTAGCAGTTCTACCAAAGAGATATTTCCCCTCTGAAATTCTGTTTGAGCCCCAAAGATGATATCTAATATAACACAAAACAGAAGAAGATAAATGGAAAGTCTGAAAAATTCTTCTTAAAGTTCTTCCTTTATCCTGTGTCAATGACAACACAAAGGTGGCACCCTGTGTACAAATTGGTGAACTACATTCATTACATTGACCTCCCTTTGGGAAATGGCTCCTTCACATATACACAGGTCACGCTGTAGCTGATTGTTGCAGAGTGTCCCTGAAGTTTTCTTCAGGTTTTAGGATGGACAGGAATGATTACAGATTGAAGATAAAGCTCCACTCCCTTTATTCATGCATCCATTTGTCACCAGCAGTACTTTGCATTATTTTGCATTTTTTCCATTGCAGGTCAAAGCTTTTAAGACTACCTGTAAGACAAACATATCTTTGTGTTATCTCAAATGAAAAAAAGTTAAAGAAAATCACCAAATCCACTTCAATTTATGACCTAACCATGATCTTAATCTCTGGTACCTCAGATGTTTTTATCTCATCCAACAGGAACTGATCATTTTGCTGATTTGCTTTTTCTCGCCCAAGAAATTACTGTCTTGCCACAATATATACCATTCACTGCGGCAAAACAAGATGCTGTGAACTGCTGCTGGAAAATTAAAATTTCATAAAGGTCATTAAATGTTATTCTAGACATGATGTGCCCCCAGGATAATGATCAAGATGTTCCCTTAACTGAATAGTGGTAGTATGATGGTGGAGGAAGTACTAGGACCCTTTCTACTTAGAGTAGTAAGTGTTATATTAGTGTTACAGTATCAGATTATTATTACTCATGCAGCACTGTAATAACATATAATATTTTGTAACATGATCATAACATTTTGTTTGTGAAATTTTGATCTTCAGACTAGAGACTTCTCTTTCAAATAGATGCTGTTGGAGTAAATGCCTTTAAAATGTAAAAGTAGGATTGTAAAGTAATAAAATGGAGTACACAAGTAAAACACAAGTCCCTTAAAATTCTACTTAAATGCCGTACTTGAATAGAGCACATAGTTGCTCATCACTACTGTGATAGTACAAAAACTTTTCAGCTTATTTCCTGGTATACCAAAACACAAATTTGTTATATATTGTTATATTCCAAGTGGTGAAATAAAACTTAACACATGTAATCATGTACTGTGCTTCAGTACAATTTTGAGGTGCTGATTCTTGATTATTTCCAATTTCAAATATTCTTTCACAGTGCTTTGTTAATACACTATATAATTTAAACTAATTGATTAGGATATAATCATAGGTTAGGCCACCCAGCAATATATAAAGTGATTAATAGTAGCTCCACCTCTACCAGCTCCAACAGGTTCACATACGTGCATTGTAGTGCAATATTTTCTCTCAAACTCACAACAATGTGCAACACTACATCTCATTGTCATATCTATACAATATACCAGCGATTATAAGGTGCAGTCTGCATTTTTCAACCATTTTAGTTCAGTTTTAGCAACTCTTGTACCTATCTTACTGCTATACTACTCTATTAGGCACTGGATCACTTTATATCTTGTATATTTTGAATTTCTTGACTGATATTTAGTGCTCTATGTTTTAAAAACTGGGCCTAGTGTGTAACCCCGACCTGGGGAACCCACTAGTTGCTCTGGTTGTTACTGTTTTTTCTTTAGTGAATGGTAATTGTTGTTACTATACTTTGTGTTACCGTAATGAAGCATTCACCGGCAAAGATATAGTTCGATTGAATTGAATCAATAATTACAATTCAGTAATAAATAGCATAATATACTGAAATGAGTTCTGCAGTGTAATGAGTACTTTTACTTTTTTACTTAAAGTATATTTTGATGGAAATACTTACGTACTGGGGTTAGATCTTGGGAGTACATTTTTAATGCGCAATTGATTGCACCTCGATTTTGTCACTTCTGACCTTTGACATCAGTGTGTACGAGGGACAAGTGAAGGCAGCACCAGTCTTCTGAGGAAGGCGGGATCATGTGTCGCAATCACAAAACGAACCAATCAGAGGTCACATTTTCTCATAGCAACCCCAATCAGCGAAGAGGGACTGTCTGGTTGCGAAGGTAGTGATAGTGGTGGTGTGGAAGAAGCAAGTGTTTCCTCTGGGCTTGCTTGCTGCTAGGTTTAGCAGCAATATTCTGCCCATATATCTTTTTAAGTTTGACGCCTAACTAACAGGCGTTCAATTATCTCGCGTAAAGATCAATTTCCCGCATGTTAATATTGCAAACTAGCTCGCGGGGTGAACGTAACCTTATCTGAAAAGCATCTTTGAACATAATTGGAACACGAAATTACGATGCCATCCCCGATGGAGGGATCTTCCAGAGAAGGTGACCTCTTTACTGTGAAACATGAGCTGAAAAATGGTAAGTTAGCTGCGAGCTGGGATAAACTTTTAATGCAGTAAATGCTATTCACCGTTTATCTTTTAGGGGAAACACGTGCCCCGGGGTGAATGTTAGATGGCTAGCTTGTCAGAGCCAACTGTCACTGTCAGTGGGCATTTGTAGTGAGCGCTACCGTTAACGTTAACGTTACTCAAGTCCAAAAATGGCAGAGGAAGGCTAACGTTAGCTGACTGTCCTTATTACTTGTAAGGCTGCTGCTGTCTCACGCAAACTAACGTTACCTAACCATTTTACTAACGTTAGCTAACTGCAATAACCGTGGTCAACCCAGATAATAACATTAGCTTAAGCTTGTCGTTAATGTGTAACGTTAACAAGAAGCTTAATCAGACCATCGACAAAGATGTTCAGCAAGTTTTTGCCACTGTAAACGCCTCAACTTAACGTTAATTACCAGCTATAAATGTAAAAGGGTTTTCCTGTTACTGCCTGGTTTGTTAGCGGTCACAGCTAACTTCTGCTTAGCCACCGGAGAGCACACACAGCTGCAGTGCTGTCAAGACTCAAGAGTCAACGTTAGCTTCATTCTGCACATTACACAGGGATGTGCATGAACATAAGCCACTGTTGGTTTGTTTGATAACGGCAGACAGGTAAATATCCGCGTCTCCTGGCTAGCCTTGTAAACAATACACCCTCAAGCTACAACTGTGACTTTTATTATGTTGAAATAATGCGGCTAAATGACAGTACAAAGTGAAGTAGTGTTGACATGTAGCAACAGCATCTCAAAAGAGGACTCCAAATGAATCAACAGGAAATACAGTCATAGTAAATGTTACCATTCCTAGATACTTATGATTGACACCTGAGCGGAGGTGGTTGTTTGGAGTAGAGTGGCATGTGTACTGATTCACTGCAGAGGGCTGCTGAATGAAGTTAGACTCTGCTTCAGCTGCAACTGGTTTATAATGACACAGTGTGCTGCTGTTCAGGCTGCAACATGACTGTGCTGCACCCCCATTTACTGCCCTGCCCCAAATATGCAGTCAGTCTAGTTGTCACTGGCACTCGTTTTTCTGTGTGTGTATGTGTGTGAGAGAGAGAGTATCAGCTTAGCTCTGTCCTTGGACCCCTGCAGTAGCATTTGACCTAGAAGTGACAATACAGCAAAATATAAGGAGAAGCATACCTGCTAAATCTATTCATTAATCTTTCTGCTATATATCAATGATTTGTGTGTGAAAGTTTTGGAAACATGCTACAGGAGACATGATTGCTATAGTCAGTTAATTGCAGTCATAGTTTTGTTGATGATTTGCACAATAAATAGACAGAATATTCCCTTTCTGAATAAAGGTTGTGTTGAAATGTAGTTGCATTAGATGTTGGGTTTTTAAATTTAATTACTCAGGAAACAAACATTTACGTGTATCCCCTGTAGACTGGAGAGGTCCCTCTTGTCTAGCAGTAGCAGAATCATCTGGTTGGACACCTCTGTCAGTCTATTAATAAACACCGAAATCAAAGTTGGCCTTGGCAGACGAGCTTGACAAGGGTGTTACGCAATCTGAACCTCACATCTGAAGGACAGTGTTGATACAATACGCAGTTAAAGTGTCTGATAGTCGCAGCATTTCTTCTCGTGCGTAACAGGAGAAGCAGCGGAAAATATTAAATCAGCCACTTTGATTGCTCAGTCGTCCATTTTTCAGTGGGAGACAGAAGGAATGTGTTCACTACAATGGACATGCATGTCTAAGAGGGTGCTATGCTCAGCCAGCTGCACTGGGAGGCCATGATTTAGAAAGACACGAGGAGTCACTGACAGTGTGTGCTGAATTCACTGAAGATCTCTGATGGTAGATAATGACCTTTTTCTGGTTAATGTAGCAAGTTTGCCTGCAGTTGCATGGAAGATTATCTCATACTGTTACATAGCGAGAGGTAAGAGGAGTTAGCTTTCTGGCAGAGGACTTTTTTTTGAAGATCTTTGTTTACTTGAAGGAAGTTTGCTGATTATGTATGTGTTCTGCCCAGTGCTACCAGTCTGCTGCTGTTGGCTGTGGGTTCATTTACCCATCATCCAGAGTTTCCTAGCATGTCCAGTGTTTTAAATCGCTGATCCTCCATTTCAAAGCCCACTTCTGCAACCTTTTAGCTTTGACTTTATTCGCCTCAAAGCATCATGGCTGAGAGTCTGTTTGTATCAAAATGAAATGCAAGAATTCATTATTTGTAAAATGGGCACCAGTTACAAAACAAAAAGGATACACAAATTTAAGGTGACGTAATGTGCCTTCTGCTGTCCAGCTTGGCACCAACAACTTAAAACAGCTGATCAGTTTCAAATGTGTTTACAACTTGGCTGAATCAATGGTACTCAAAAGACAATGAGAATGTCCTCGTGATATTAACAAGAAGCTGGTCATTTTTTCACCTTTTTATCATTTAGAGGCAGAAACAGATAATGTAGAGGACCAGGATGTACATTCATATCTTTAAGGGTAAACTATGCAGGATTGTTAATAATAATAATAATAATAATAATAATAATAAATTTTATTTGTAACGCACTTTATATGTAACGAAAAATCTCAAAGTGCTACAACAGCAAGAAAAGAAAAAATAAGTTAAAACAAGTGTTAGTTACTGTTTGTAACAGTATCGCCAGCGAAAGCTGAACTAAAAGCCAACCCCAGAGTCACTCTTGTTTGGTGTTTCACTTCACTCTATTGTTGTTTTTTGCCGCTATGTCTCTTGGATGCCTGCTGCTTATAGTCTGACACCTGGTTGCTACCTTTTTATAAAGCCCCAACCTCACGTGGTTGCTACCCATAAAACCCATGAAATACCCAAACACAGAAAATAAAAAGGAAATAAGGAAACACAGGCTGAGGGCAGAGTCTCTGCAGCTAAATACACCGTCACACACTTCTACTGGGTCATAAGTGATGATTGAGAGGGATTACTTCTGTAGGAGTCTATAGAGTGTTTTATTTATTTTAAAAAAATACTGCATATTATATCTGTATCATTTCGTTTTTGCATTCTATTCTGGCATAATAAGTGAATGGCTTTTAGGTGCTAATTCTTAATGTGGCACCAATCACGGCAGGTGGGAGATTTATAATGCAAATGCAAACAGTAATTGCGGTTGCAAACAGCAGGGCTGTCAGTGCAGTGAATATAAACACACATTTTCCCGTGTTCCAGATAAGCCTCAGGTGGTCAATCAGTGGGGGAAAACACTTAATGTGGAAAATATTCTTTAATAAAATTCTCTCAGTTGAGCTACTGCTGGTGTCTTAAAGTTATGGAGACCATTTATTGAGATTTTATTACCATGTCAACCATTCCTCAAGACTGAGAATCAAATCTCTGTCCTGTTTAATACATGTTTAATCTGTCTTTCCTAACCTCATCTGTTAAGTGTGCTGGTACTTCTGTAACCAGTCAGTTTATCCCATTTACTCCATTAAATAACAATGTTTAACCGCCTGACAAGTCCTCTCACTCCCCCCACCTTTCTGTTATGTCTTTGTTTTTAGTTTGCATATTTGCTTTTGTCCATTGTGTTTTTTCTTCCCTTTTACGACTTATTTAGTTGTTTCAGTTACACTAAAAGAAAAAAATATGATGAAATGTAAACGTGTAAACGTAGTACCTGTTCTGCTTTTCACAAGCTACTTACTGATACTGTGTCTTTATGTTCAGATGTGAAAATATGCTCTCACAATAATTTTTTGAGAGTGAATGACTCCTTAAGGGAACACATGTATTTGGCTCCTCTCCAGTAACATACTGATTATTTCTTTTCTTTAGTATTTTATCATTCAAGCCACTTTTTGTTGCTATATGAATTGATTTATATTTACCAGATTTTCTTGTAATATTTTATTTGTGCTTTGACCTCAGCCAACCTGACGGGCCATGTAGAGAGGGTAGGCATTGAAAACTTTGAGCTATTAAAGGTGCTGGGCACAGGAGGTGAGTAAAACCTTTAACTTAAATCTCTCTCTGAAAATGTGACAGTTAGATGATGGTTATCACGCCAGTCTGACATCCCATATTGTGTTTTTAGAATGATAAGCATGTCATACCAGTCTTTTCTGTTCAAGCCTTTGCTCTGCACTGAACCTTGCCCTCTGTCTTTGTTTATTCTAACCGCCAGCGTACGGCAAGGTGTTCCTGGTGAGAAAAGTGAGTGGCCATGATACAGGGAAGCTGTATGCCATGAAGGTTTTGAAGAAGGCCACCATTGTACAAAAGGCAAAGACTGCCGAACACACACGGACGGAGCGGCAAGTGCTGGAGCACATCCGCCAGTCTCCATTCCTCGTCACACTTCACTATGCCTTCCAGACGGATACTAAGCTGCACCTCATTCTCGGTGAGGATATTTTATATGAAACTGCTTTCTGTGTTATGTTTGTATAAGAAAAATAAAAAGTTAATAATTGTCTTTAACCCAGTGAAGGAAATGGGTTTTCACCAGCTGAATGAATCACTGTAAACTAGAATTTAAAACAAGTATTTGCACTTTACTGTAGAACCCACTCATATCGTTTTGGATGAAACGTGACATGCATGATATCTTTTATTATAGATTATGTAAATGGTGGGGAGCTCTTCACACATTTGGTGCAAAGGGTGCGATTTAAAGAGCAAGAAGTAGCCTTGTACAGTGGAGAGATTGCGTTGGCACTAGAACATCTACACAAGGTAACCCCCAAATTCAACACAACCGAGGCCTCCTGTCTGTTCAGAAGTTATTTATTTATGCTTCCATCTCTTGTGATTCACATGCCCCTATGTCATTTTGTTGTTGCAGCTTGGGATTGTCTACAGGGACCTGAAACTTGAGAATATTCTGCTGGATTCAAGTGGTCATATAGTTCTCACAGACTTTGGCCTCAGTAAAGAATTCGATCAGGTACAGTTATGTTTCAATAGTAAGTCTTTAAACCTCTCCTTATCTTTAGACTGTTAACCCACACAATCCTAATGAAACAGATAGGTGTTTGAGTGTTAAACTTGGACATTCACTCATATTCCCCAAGACACTGTTAGGGACTATTGCGTTCCGTCATATATTCGCACTTCCCTTGATAAATCATGGAAATACAGAGGACCATCTCTTCGGAATCACCTACATCTATCCTGGAAACCAACATCTACATTATCATTATTCATAGAAACAACTAAAAATGTCTCTAATTTGCAAAGATTAACACTTCGCGGATTTCTTTTTAACGCATTTCAGCATGAGTATATAAACTTAATTGGGACCTTTCAGTCCAGACAAGTGACTCTGCAGTAGTCACAGGTATTTATCCGCTCCAGCTCCGATCTTCGATTGGCTGTGATGGAACTACAACACCTGCGTGGACCCAGTAATTTTAGCCCCTTTGCCGTAGCGATGCAATGGCTGATGACCACAAAATACTGACCTTTTCCGTCAAAGCAGCACTCGTACATCACTCCACCCTGAATTTGAAAGAGAGACTGAATAAGTAAGAGATACAAAAAAAAAGAAGAAACCACTGTAACATTTTCACCGGCCTCTGTGCTGCTTTCTGTGGTTTACTAACCTTGTTTTTTGGTCTGTCCATGACATGGAGAAAAAAAAATAGAAAGGCATTCTCATTCTCTTCAGAGCCCTGTACAATTCTCTGGTCTACTGACAATGGGAAAGCAGTCTATCATCTATTTTTAACAGGTTTTCCTGTGTTTAAAGTAAGTTATGTTAATGTCCTATGTTTTCTTATATATTTAATACTTAAGATTTGAAACCAAGTCTTTCAGGGGCTTTAATTGTTCTCTTACAGTCTTGCAGGCACAAAGAAGACTAAGATTCTTTGTATTTTTTGTCATATCCAGTTTCTAAAATGTGTCTATTGATTTGTGCCTTTGTTAAAACAGGTGGAAAGGGCGTTTTCTGTCTGTGGCACCATTGAATATATGGCTCCAGAAATCGTGGAAGGAGGAGAGTCTGGACATGACAAGGTAATTTTAGGTTTTATGCCATCGTGTGTTCGATCAAATGAAGCAGCCCAGAGTCTCCTCTCTGTATTCCTGAATGTGTGTGCTCTCCAGTGAGATTTTCCTTCGAGTCTGTTAAGCTAAAATCACAGGTGTTTGCTTTCATGCATGCCAGGCGGTGGACTGGTGGAGCCTTGGCGTGTTGATGTACGAGCTTTTGACTGGCGGATCACCCTTCACCGTCGATGGAGATGAGAACTCGCACACAGACATTGCCAAGTATGGATTCTCCCTGATTGTCAGCCACAGTTTTCAGCTCGCCTTCATATAATCACTTTACAGCTCTGACCATATCTGTCTCACACACACCACAGGAGGATTTCAAAAAAGGATCCTCCTTTCCCCAAAGACATGGGACCTCTGGCCAAAGACCTCATCCAGCGACTCCTCATCAAAGATCCAAAGAAGAGATTGGGCTCAGGTCCTAACGGAGCAGAGAATGTAAAAAAACACCCATTTTACCAGGTGGGTCTCATTGCTTGTCTTGAGTTCTTCACAATATTTAGAAAAACTAAAAGGCAGGGTGGGCTGTTACTCTACATAATGGGGCTGCCTCGAGTGAACAGCATTTAGGAGGTGTTTGTATAAGCTATGTTAATAAGGATGGGGATCAACCACAATGTTTTTCTTCTTCTAAACTCCCTTTAGAAAATAAACTGGGAGGACTTGGCAGCTAAGAAGGTGCATGCCCCGTTCAAGCCAGTGATTCGGGACGAGCTGGACGTCAGCAACTTTGCAGAGGAGTTCACAGAGATGGATCCCACATACTCCCCCGCAGCACTGCCTCAGAACTGTGACCGCATCTTCCAGGTGGGAGAATGTTAAGGGAATTAAGTAGGGCTGGGCGATAAAACGATGTCGATAGGGGGTCATGATAAAATTTATGTTGATAGTGATGATACATTTGGGACATTTTTACTCAGTATGAATCTAACAGCCAATCACACAGCAGAAAAAAAACGCAACAACAGCCAGTGTGCTGCCTCTCTTTTCTGCCTCTGCTCTCAGAGGGCGGAGCTATGCTTCAGAGCTTTAGAGCAGAGCCCAGAGTGGAGGGAATGAAACAGACTTTAGGATTTTTTGTAGGCGTCACTGACCACAATACTCATTATCCAAAAGTGCAACAAAGGGAGACAGTATGATTCATTTATCAAGCACATATTGAACAAGCGGAGGACAGACTTCGGCCATGCTGCCGACAGTAACTTGCTGCCTTCTCTTAAGCCACGCCTGGTTTGTCTTACACAGCCACAGAGCTCATTACACGCTAACTCCGTGTCAATTGTGAATTGGTTTTGATATCTCAAAACCAAAGAATAGTGGATTATGACAGTCCTCAAACTATGTCCTCACTCGGTACTGACCAAGACCGACACTCAACAAATTGAGAGTTACAGATGTTACCAAGGATCTATGAATTCTGGATGACCTCCAATTCGATCACCTGAAAGGTACCAGCCCAGTGACCACACAATTATTTTAATATGTTACAGGCCAAGCCAGCTTTTGTACGGCAGATAAAGCATATTTGCAAAGTTAGTCTAAATGTTTATGTATAGATGTTATTAAATATATTGTTTTATTACTAAAGATATTGTAAACAAGCCATGTTTTATGTTAAATAAACATTACTCTAAAGTTTAACTGGTGAGCGCTCTGGTTCCTTCAGGCTTCAGTCGTTATCAGGATTCTCTTTAAACTGGCGGCTTTATCAAATTATACATTGTGATAAATATCTATATTGATTTAATATGGAAAAAAATATCATTATAATATATTTTGCCATATTGTCCAGCCCTTGATGTAAGACAACCAGACTATTTTGTTGCTGTGACTTATTGTTTGTGTTGTTTACAGACGGGAACATTCCTTTCTGCTCCTCGCAGGTCATTGCACAGGCCAGCATTTGTATTTGCATTTGCTTTGTGCCGATGTTTGTCTGGGCTTTGGTTGCAGGCAGTGTGAAATGTTGACACCGATGAAAAATTGCATTATACATTATCCACTTTTTGTCTGTGACTATATTTGACATACTCCACAGCAATTGAAGTAATCAAGTGAAGTTTTGAATGTCCTCAAAAGGTTGCTGTAAGTCAACATGAGTCTGTCTGTGTGCACTGGTATTCAAATTGACTAAAGAGTCTTTTATTGGAGTAATTGCTGCCATATGCAGCTCTTATTGAAGTAACAGATGTGAATGACTATTTTTGATGTAGCTTTGAACCATAATATGGCCCACAACTCTGTGCCAGCTGATGGCTGTCTGATGTATTGCATGAAATTTCAACTCTGATTGCCTTCTGGATCCTTGAGCTCGGTAGATCAATAGATCCATTAACGGGCTTCTCTCATGGAATAAAAGGTTACACTTTGAGAGCATCACCACGTCTGTCTCGGTTACGCCTTCAGTCTTTGATTGCCAACTTCATCTTGGCTTTTTTCGCTCTCAGCTGCCATTCACATAGTCTGAAATTTTGTGGTCTTTATAATTTGCAAGCCTAGCAATCTCTGAGATAACGACAGCAATCCCAATTTTAAACCGTGCACTTGCTCCCCCACGGTGCCTCACAAAACAAAATTAAAATTGCATTAAGAGCGCCAAGATGTAATTTCACAGCAGAGCAATCAAATATTCAAGCCCGGCAATTTAGGGCATCTCATTCATTCACCACCCATCCTTCCGTCCATCCATGGCTGTCACTACATACCACACAGCTGTGTGTGTGTCGGTGAAAAAAGGGAGAGAGAGATTAATGCCAGCTCAAAGCTTTGGGCTCCCCACAGCTGGAATTAAGCAGGCAGCGCTCCACAATGACAGGTCTAACAATAGGAACAGCTGGACGGCCACTGTCACTCACAAATTAACAGAATTGGGTTTATTGTGGAGCTGTCAGGCTGCTTTGACGGAGAAATGTTTGATGAAAAGTCTGCAACAGTTAAGTTTTACAGTAAATATGGAAATGTCTAAAAACACAAAGTGTCTATAAATATCTGTGATATATAAAAGAAAGTTTAATCGGTGGGATTTTACTGTGACAGGGTATATCTGTGGCTTTTAACTGCAGGAGCGGATGTTTCCTTTCCCTCTGTCCTTATAGTCCAGCCCTCACTTTAAAATGTAAACACATAGAGTTCATGTGTTTCTGTGTGCAGGGCTACTCTTTCATGGCCCCCTCCATCCTGTTCAAGAGGAATGTGGTGATGGACGACCCTGTCCAGCTGTGTGGGGGATCTGAGAGGCCAGGCTCTGCTGCGGTGGCCCGCAGCGCCATGATGAAGGTAAGATGAATGGACTTGGATCCCCCTGCACAAACACACTTAAGCTAATGGCCGCTGTCACAGACAGATGAGGGTTTTTTTCCCCCCTCTCCTCTCCATTCCACGAGAACTTTTTTTCTACTGTACTTGTTCTACACACTCAGATTCGGGTTTTATGAGGCATGAGGCCTGTTTATTTATATTTGTTTGTGACTGCTCTTGTGTGTCTGTATAACGTAATGCTTTTTGACAAGGCAGCAGCGCATTGCCTTTTGTGGACTCACTGGGTTTCGAGCTTTCTCATCGACATCCTGAGTACTCACTGGTGTGGTGATTTAAGTGATATGAAAGTGAGCTGTTTGCTGTTTTCAAGATTTGTTGTTTGTAATATTGGTGACAGGGATTGTAATTAATATTTTTAATGCTTTTCAGTCGAGGCCAAAAGGCTTTTAGAAATGTTTAATTAATCAACAACATGCCGGAGTATTACATTGAATTTCCATTAAAAGCAATCTGCATTTTGGCTTGCCTGTGAGCCTTGTCATAGTCTGCTACTCTTTTCGTGTTTACACACCTTAGAAAGGGGAAGTTTCAGCCGAGCAGTCAGGCAACAATGTGCTCTAAATGTGCTCACACCTCCAACAAAACCTCATCTCACTATGCTTTACAGGTTTTTACACCATCTTCTAAGAAGCTAGTTAACTGTTTCTTGTCCTGTGCTGATCTTCAGTACCTTAATATTGATTTGGAAATCGAGATCTCTTACCATCTGGCTGCTGCTATGCACATTTGCCACTTCTACTTTTTTCTTAACTGAATTTGGACAACATTGCACAATAAGAGAAGTTTACTGGCTTCCTCCTGAAGTGTTTTTTCATGGACTGTTGCAGTGATAAATGTTTTATGATTACAAAACAACATGTCTAAATTTTGTAATCACATAGAATAGGCAACATTTATTTATTTTTTTTAAATAGAAGTTTAGATAGTTCACATTTACGAGTATTGTCAGTGATTATTAAATTAGGTTGTATGTTTAATGTAATTGTTTTATCTTAAATTTGAGGAGACATAAAAGAAGACATTTATTCCTCATAGACATGAATTGACTCTTTGTTTGGAGAATAAGACATAACATGGATTGTAAAAGAAAGTACCAGCGTCATGACCTGTGTAATAGAAGTAACAGTATTTTCCATAGAAAGGAAAAGCAGCTGTAGAGTTCATATTCAAATAAATGGCAAAATAATTTGATGTGCACAGGATCACTAGGAATTTACAAAATATGTATTTAATGTAATCAACATAAATTAAGCTAAAAATATTTAATGTTTTATATTTTAGAATAAAAATACTTGAATACCACATTTTTATTGAAGACCTAACAACACTGAGGTCATTCTTTTATTGAGGTCATTGCAACTATCAGACGCTTCAGTGTTTCCTTTGCTTTAAAATGTATATTTGACCGAACAGCTTTTCCTCCACCATTCTCTCTTCAGGACTCACCTTTCTACACGAGTTACGAGATGGACCTGAAGGACAGTGCTTTAGGAGAGGGAAGCTTCTCCATCTGCAGACGGTGCACACACAAGAAGACCGGACAGAAATACGCAGTCAAGATTGTCAGCAAGAGGTAAAAACTTGCATCCTGCTTGCTCACGTGTGTTGTGCCTTCGGCTGTGTGATGTTCATAGTTACACTAAATAAATCAGTCAGACACCCTCCTCCTCTTCTTGGCAGAGCTCGGACCCTTGTCAGCCAACTCTACACAAAATTTTACAAAAATATAAAATTAGTATCTTATCTTTAACTGATGAATGCAAAAATAAAGCCATAATGTGACTCAGTTACATAATTGATAAGGTTTTATCTGCCCTATTGCTCTGTTAGGTGCTGCCAGACGTGGATTTAATAGATGTTAATACGTCTCTGCTCACAAACCTGGTTGTTTTTGCTGGCAACTGCTACAAAACAGGCTTTGATAATGTGTGTTGACTGCAGTCCTACACTACACTCCTACACTCCTCCACTGGCAGTGTGGCACCAGATATTACTAATAAGAGTAAGCCTTAGTGGGACAATCTGCGTGACACAAACACATATTTCTGAAATCTAGAACAACATGTTCAAATAGTACATCACCCTTTGCTCACAGCATCACGTTGTTTCTATGGAAGCCCATTTCTGCCAATGTGACAAAAAAAAAAAATACAAGAGTCATCATAATGAGAAACTTTCACCCTAATGAATTAGTTTCTGAAAATAATGACATTTCCAAATAATGAAACTTTCTCAATCTTATTTATCTCAATATAATGACTTTGTATTTTAAAAAAATTCATTCATTATCTGTAACCATTTATCCTGTTAGGGGTTGTGGGGACTGAAGCCTATCCCAGCTGATATTGGGTGAGAGGCAGGGCACACCCTGGACAGGTCACCAGACTATCACAGGGCTGACACATAGACACAGACAACCATTCACACTCACATTCACACCTACAGACAATTTAGAGTCACCAATTAACCTGCATGTCTTTGGACTGTGGGAGGAAGCTGGAGTACCTGGAGAAAACCCACGCTGACACAGGGAGAACATGCAAAGTCCATACAGAGAGGCCCCAGCCAGCCAGCTGAAACCCTCTTGCTGTGAGGCGACAGTGCTAACCACTACCCGATCGTGCCGCCCCCCCAAAAATAGTAATTATGAATTTGTTTTTCAAAAAAATTAGAAGCTTTCACAGAATATTGAGTTTTCTCAAAACAATGAGAAATGTTCTCAAGGTAATGAGTTAGTATCTCAAAATAAGTTTGAGTTTTTCAAAATATTGCTAGTATTTCAAAATAATTGGTTAGTATCTAACAATGTTGAGTACTGTAAGTATCTTAAAATGACAAGTATATCAGAATAGTGAGAAACGACTTAGTTTTTCAAAATGATGACTTTTATATTTGAAAATAATTAGTTAATTCTCAAAATGAGAAACTTTCTGAAAAAGATTATTCAGTGCCTCAAAACAATGAGATTTCTCAAAATAATGACTTAGTATCCTAAAATAATGCCTTTGCACACTGAGTCCGTTTTTTTTTTTTTTTTCGTCTGAAATTGTGGCACGTCTAAACATAAATACGACTTCACATTGTGTGCATTATGTTTGCACACTGAGTCATTAAAATTTTTGGAACAGGTTTGATTTTCTGCGTTTTTCTCGTCTCGTCTTTTTTGGATGACAGATTAAAAAAGACACTTTCGAAAAAACAGACTCAGTGTGCAAAGGCATTTAGTATCTTCAAGATCATTTCTTATTATAATGATATACAGGATCTCTGTTCCATCACATTGGCGAAAATTGGCTTCCATAGTTTCTGTGTCAGCAGGAGTTTTGGGGTGTAAATCTGAACTTAAAAACTGATACAAATGCCTCTGAAATAAAGAATGTGAGAATTAGAGAACTGAACCTTGTAGGCTAACCAAGGTGCATTGTGGGAAATTACCAAACAGGAAAAAAATGACCTCCCCACACAAACCACTGTCAAAAATGATATTATACAAATTTCATACAAAAACAAGTCAGTTAATGGGTGATACTCTGTCTTCTTCTCTTAACCCTGCTTTTGCTTCTTTTAGAATATTTTGTTAATTTTATTATTTGGTGTAGTGTAAATGCTGTTCTGCATAAGTTAACAATAGTTGCCCAGTTTTGACTAAACTGACATTTTAAAACCTGTTAAAGGAAACAAAACCTGCCCTCTGAAAAGTCAGTTTCTCACTCTACTCTGTGTGTGTGCGTGTGTGCGTGTGTGTGTGTGTGTATTTATGTTGTATTTCATGACAGTTATCTGGCTTCCTGCTTGTTTTTACAGAATGGAGGCACAGACTCAGCGTGAAATAGCAGCCCTGAAGCTCTGCGATGGCCACCCTAACATTGTCAAGTTACATGAAATTTACCACGACCAGGTAGGATTAATTGCGGTGGATACATTTGCTACCATAAATTGTGTTTTACATGGCTCTCTGCGGAGCCTGTGGGGACCGCAACCTTATTAAGTCCTTGAACTGGAACGAGGCAGATTAATGGGGAGGCTGGAAGCCCTCAAGGTCTTTCTTTATCTCTTCATGTATTGTCCCATAAACATCTCTCTATGTGCTCGATATCTCACACCAAACGTATTTTTAAACTGCAGCTGTGCAAACATCCATTTTGTGCCACTGAACAGAAACAACCTAGATTTCCTCGCGTTGCTAATCACACTCAAACCAAACTAAGTGCGCATGTGTTCTAAATGTACCTAGGATATTGGGAAGGTGTGTCCGTGTAGCTGACTGCGTACAGGTTCATTAGCCGAGGTCCTTCAAGCCCAGGAGCACCACTTTAGTCCTGATGAGCTCAGTGGGGTTATTACTGTACCTCAGAGGCCTGTGACCCAGATCAAAGCAGCGCTGCCTCGCCTCGCCTCAACCCAGTCCTGCCTTTGTTCCCCAGACCCAGCACTAATGAGAAACTCTACCCCACCGCCCAGGCACATTATTCCCTTCCCAATTTGTTTGGCCCCTTTCACTTTTACTCAATACCATTATGGTTTGGTCTCAGCATCATGGGATCAAGGATGGGCTGTTTTTGTTACATATATTATGCAACAGAAAAATTCTTTCCCACCATTTCCTACGTTAACATTCAGTTGTTTTTAATATGAAGCTGTGAAAGCAAGATTGATTTTACATTAGAAAGCTTACACTTTTCAATATTTGTTTAATTGCAAACCTTCTAGGAATGTTTGCACAGTCTGCTCTAGTGTTGCAAAGCATGCCAAAGATTAAAGGCTGGGTGTGTCAGAGGTTGGTGTTAAGTGTTAATATATTATCTGTTTGCTGTAGCTCCACACGTACCTGGTTCTGGAGCTGCTCGGTGGAGGCGAGCTGCTAGAGAGGATCCGCAGAAAGCAGCATTTCAGCGAAACAGAGGCCAGCCGCATCATGCGAAAACTGGTGTCAGCTGTCAGCCACATGCACGACGTAGGAGTGGTGCACAGGGACCTTAAACCGGAGGTATTGGACGTAACACTCAGCAGGACTGTTGCTTGAAATTCTGCTCTGTATGAGCACAGTTTGTGTCTCTGTGGTGAATACAGACACACTGGATCATAAGCTTTTAAAACACAATTACTGTGTTTTTCTGAACTTTGTATGATCTGTCGTATTGTCATTCTGACTCTGCAATCTTCTGCAAAACAAGAGTAAAATTGTTTGACCCTAACGCGGGTCAAAAGCACCTGGTCAGACAAGTCTTGATGTCCAATTTAGTAAGCTCTCGAGTGGACCAGTTTTGCTGAGCACAAAGAAATGATTGCTGTCCGTGTCTCCAATTGCTTTGCAGAACCTGCTCTTCACAGACGAGAGTGAGAACTCCGAGATAAAAATCATAGACTTTGGCTTTGCTCGCCTCAAACCACCAGACAATCAGCTCCTGAAGACTCCCTGCTTCACCCTGCAGTACGCTGCGCCAGAGATACTCAAGTACGACGGCTACGACGAGTCCTGTGACCTGTGGAGTCTGGGGGTCATTCTGGTGAGTGGGTGTGGGACGACAGAGCCGTGCTCAAGTTAAAACAAAAATTAAACTGATGGAGAATCATTCATTATTCAGCTTAAGATTATCCTGAGGGGAAAGAAACATATCAGCCCGTTATCTCAGCATTTCCACAAGTGTTTTGTTTCACAGCATTTACAACAGAAATCGCCAACATTGTAACAGGAAAAGAAAAGTTAGCCTACAATACTTACTTTTTCTTCAATGAAAATACAACATACATCTTAGTGCTGAAACAAGTGGTCCATTGATTGGTGAGGTAATCAATTTAAAGTCAGTCTGTGACAGCTGAGTTGTTAATCAAGTAAAAAAAAAAAAAAAAAAGTTGTTTATTGCCTTTAAAATGTGAACATTTCCTACTTTCTTTGTGTCAGGGAAACAACTACATCTTTATTAGGAAAAATAACTGAACTGTTTTAAGATAATCAGCCCTTCATTACACGTCCTTTGAATGAGCACAAATTTTATCCAACAAATGTATAAAACAACCGTTAATATAACCTTCTTTTACATGGAAAACGTCTTTTAAATAATGATAACTGCTTCAAAAGCCTTTTCACTCTATATAATGTATCATGATTCCCTCTCTATCTCTATTCATATGATCAAAAATTAGAGAAGCACTGATTGTGAAATTCTGGGCCAATACCGATACAGACTTTTGTTTTTGTTCATATTTATTTCCCCTTTTGAGTCAGGGAAACAAAGAAATCTTGATTATAAAAAACCCCTGTATTTTATAATAACTCTGTTTTATATTGCTGTGAAAACACCAACAAATTTCTCCTTCAAAAAACTGTATTTATTCAAGTTTGTTTTGAAACACTACATTTTACAAGTTACACTGAACACATCATGAGAACATTACCCTCTCCCAATAGGATTTTTTTACTAAATAGAGCTGAATGCAGTATAAATTAACTCAGTGCAATCTGTTAGCTGTTAAATCGGTTAGCTGTTAACGTTAGCTAGGTGTCCTCCCGCTGATTTCAACATAGATTTGTTGTTCACGGGTAAACATTATTGAGACAAGAATAGGTCGGATAGTGGGTTTACTTCATTCTTTTGACCCGATGGTGTCCTGGGGAAATCTCTGTACGTCCTAAACATATTTTCTATTATCCCGGTTTCAATGGGACACAGGTAGTCTCAAGCGCTGATTTTTAGCCTGTGCAAAAGTGATGTGACAACAGAAAAACATCGGCCACTGCCATTGGTGAACGTCATCTTATTTGCCTTTAGGCCAATGGCAATCAACAAGGTGAATATTGGCCGATATCGATAGTCAGCTGATAAATCCATAAGTTCCTAGCAAAAAATTTACCTGGAGGAAATGAGGTTAAATGTTTGTTTTTTGTTTTTGTTTTTTTTTATTTACTGTTTTATTAGGTTTTAGGTTAGATTAACCGTCGCAAGTGTAAACGGGACACAAAGTCACATTTAAAGTAAAGTAAACTAAAAAACAAAAATCCTTCTTAAGTAAAAAACTAAATCTACAAATATACATACACACACATGCACGCACATGTGTATCTATACACATATACACAGACGTATATACACCTGTATAAACACACACTTCCATATACGTACACATTCTAATCAACCTGAATAAATCCTGCAGTTAGAGGAAAAGGGAATTATTTTAGGTTGAGAGATTTGTCCATAACATATTACTACTATACAAAATCAGGCCTAAATTTTCATCGAATATATCAGTATGGGTTGAGATTTAAGGTTTTAATCCCAGGGTGTATTTAAACTTTAGGATTTACAGTACACTTTGTGGTAACTTATAGTTGTAGCACAGAATGTTTACATTATGCTCTTAAATATTTAATATAATTAGGTCAAAAGATACTGAGGATACTTACAACCCCACATCAAAATTAAACTTTCAGTTTGATGAAGCTGATGCTGCTCAGTCAGGAGTAAGATTAAATAACAGATCATTGATTGGCCCTATTCAGGAGCATGATTATTTGTTCACAAGTATATGCCTACTGAAGACTATCATGTTCCACAATGCTCCAGGAAAGTGACCTGATTATGTAAATTTGTAATTTGTAAAATGTTTTTAAAACCAACAGCTCCGAGCCGCACTTTAAAGTTGTTTTTCATCATAATGTTAAGTGAAGCATTTCTAAAACCAAATTAATGTTTAATCATGAGCTCCATACAGTGATGATTTGTTGATGTTATCCAGTTTATGGTTCAAACATTTGCTGCAGGCCATTCTGATGAAGCAATCAGCTGTTATTTTAACTGATTCTGGCTGTAGTTGAGGCTTTCAGTGTGTGTGTGTGTTTGTGTGTGTGTTGGAGGGCTGTTTGTGCAAATAAATGCGCACATGTATGTATGCATGTGTGTGCATGTTCTGTTTAATCTTATTTGCATGATATTCATCTCCCGCTCTTGTTCAGCGCGGCAACCTTCAGCATCCTGTGGTGAGCTGACACAGTTTTAGCGCTCACCACGGAATGAAGAGCAACCAGCCCAGCTCTCAGGGCTGGTTAGGGCTGCGCTAATATGAGACGTTGCTTCCCGGTAGCGGAAATGTCATCCTTATTCAACCTTTTTCTGTGTGGAGGAGAGGAAATTAAAAGAAGAGGTAGAGAGGAGAAGGAGAGGGCACACAGGGGGGGCGGAGAGTCAAGAGAGATTTCTATACTCGGCCAGTCATCTGAACAGAGTCTGGGCGCTCTGTGCAAGTGTTGTTTTGCACCGACGCCCCCTGGGGGGATATGGGAGTAGTGTGCCTCATGGAGCTTTGATGAAATGGCTACTGACAAGCTGTGTGCACAATGCCCTGGAAGCAAAGTGAGCAGACACAGAGAGGGAGGGAGAGACGGAGAGGCAGAGATCAGGACAGATCCTCCACTGCCAAAAGGGCTGTTCCCAACTATTGTCATTTTAATGAGAAATGTGAGGGCAGATGTAAGCAGGGCAAGGTGAGAGTATCCTGTTCATTCAGCTGAGCACACAACACTCTCCTGTTTAGTGCTGGTTCACCCACGGTCAACAACATGCAGCATAACAGTGGAATAATGTGCACAGTCGTGATCGGTCAAGAGCTCTTAAAAAGCATGTTGTTATCTCAACAGCAGATATGATTTAACACCAATACCTGGTTACTTTACCAGCTCAAGTTAGGCGACATGATTGACAATAACAACCACTTTCTGTGCCACACTGACTGTGCAGAATGTTTAGATTCATGTAGATATGCCTGGAAACTGTATTTATGATGGTTTGACAGCAGATTGTGTGGTTTCCTTCCTGTTTGCAGTACACCATGCTGTCTGGCCAGGTGCCTTTCCAGTGTCAGGAGAAGAGCCTGACCCACACCAGTGCTGAGGAGATAATGAAGAAAATCAAACAGGGAGACTTCTCTTTTGAAGGCGAGGCCTGGAGGAATGTGTCCCAGCAGGCCAAGGACCTGATACAAGGTGAGGATGGAAGTGGTGGATGGTCTGAAATCTGATGTCTTGAATTATGCCACAAGTGTTTTCTCATTAGATAAGTATTGTTATATTACTTTGAGACTCTGGTTCAGAGTAAATTTAGTAAATTTTTTGTGTATTATGCCCCATTCAAACAGAACTAGTATTACCTGGGGATATGTAGTAATTTGTAGTAATTGTGGAGGTCATCTGTGATCTTAATCCCATGTGAATCTGTCCATAATTCGTCAAGTAAAAATTCCAACACATCCTGTGATTTGGGGTGTATTTTTTCCCAGTGGATGTGTTGGTAATTATGAATGAAAGTTTTGACAGCATTTTGGGTGCAAATTGATTCATTCATGGCTCTTGTTGTTTGGGAAACGGAATGGCAGGCAGGACCATGACCATACCCAGGCTATAAAACAGACTTCAGTAACTGTGCCAGCTGTGGGGTGGTATTTCTAAATCATGTGAAATTGCCTGGTAATACTCATTTTCGGAACCCATCGGCTGTATTCGGCGTCTGACTTCCGGCAGCCTCTTGGGGCAGACCCCCAATTTTTTGGCATTCCAGTTTGAGGAGGCGAATTTCCGTTTCCGACTTCCATTTATATATAAGTAAATATGCTGAACCATTGCGATGGATTCAGAGTTTGCAGTGACGCCAATTATGTTCCGCCTTGTTAGTTCACTGCACGGAGCGTTTAACCTGGCAACAACTGCAGCTGGCTCAAACGTGATTAATCAATATCACGCGGACTACAAACAGCCTAGCACCGGAAACCAGGGCTCTTCCGCTCTTCTTCCGGAGGCAAGATCTCCGGGGTTTGTCTACAGACACTACATTCACTGAATGTAGAGTCTGTATATACAGACTAGGTAATACTAGACCTGTGTGAATACAGCTTTCGTGACAAAATTTTAGGAAATTGTTTTACTGAAGTGTGTCTCAAATGTAAAGTATGTAAAATACTGTATTATTATTAAATATGTTATTATTATTATTACTACTGTATTGTGTCAAACCCTGTCCCATATTTAGACTGTAAAATGGACTGATTTATCAGCTGAGCACTGGCCAGTATTCACCGTATTGATTGCCATTGGCCTGTCAGCAAAGAAAGTGACATTCACCAGTGGCAGTTTTGTGCCAGCTAAAAAGCACAGCTCAAGATTAACGAACCAGGGACAATAGAAAACGTATTTGGGATGAACAGTGATCTTCCCAGTGACGCTTTGGGATGAAAGGATGCAGTAAACTCACTATTGATGCATCAGGGGACGTGCTTATTGTTTCCCTGATAATGCAAAATTGTGAACAAATCTGTGTCGACATTGGCAGGAGGATAACTAACGTTAGCTGTTCGCAGCTGGTGGCCAGAACTGACAGTGAATGGACGTTGCATTGAGATACATTATGATACGTTCAAGTGTCTTCGGTAAAAATGAGTATTGGTCAAAAGTTAATTATAACATTCTCATGATGCGTTTCCATGTAATCTTGTAAAATGTAGTTTTTGGTGAGAGGCTTTGTTGGAGGGAGAATTTTTTTGATAATTTTACATCAATAAAAAATAGATATTAGAAAGGGAATTGCAATAAATATAGAAAGAAAGGCATTTGAGTCTGTTTTTAAAATGTTTTTTATGCGAGAGAAGTGTATTTTAAAAGTTGGTTCATAAATTTGTATGATTTAATTTGTGCTCAAGTCGTGTAATGAAGGACTGTATGACTTTAAAACAGTTCAGTTATTTTTTATAATGAAGATTTCCTTGTTTCTGTGGCACAAAAGAGGCATAAATAAAAAATAAAATAATTTTTACTTTTTACATCTGTTTCAGTATTGGTCCAGAATTTCAGTGCATCCGTTATAAGAATTGCAGATGTAATCTCATTTTTAACTAAGAATGAGATGAGTTGTGTTACTAACTGACAAAACTGTTTTGTTTTCTCAAATTTTAGATGTAAACTAATGTGATTTTTTTCTTATTGCATGAGAAAACACTTTATTTTGTTGTATATAGAGTTGGTGTCTGCTTTAAAAGACTTGTCAGCCAGTTTTGGAATGATGGCATATCCAAAAATATTCTGTGTTTTAAAAGTTCAGTTTTATCAGCTTGTTTCAGTCAGCTATTGGTTTACATTGGGATTACAGTTTGAACTTTTAAACCACAAAGTAGCTCACAGTGACTGAGCTACCTGAAGAAGAAATCACTTCCTCCTCAGGTAGCTCACCTCCTAACTCTTTTATTTAGAGCGCTAAAGGTAATTATTTGTGTCTTGTTCCCGCAGAGCTGCTGACGGTCGACCCAAACAAGAGGATTAAGATGTGCGGCCTGCGTTACAATGCCTGGCTTCAGGACGACAGCCAGCTGTCCTCAAACCCGCTCATGACCCCGGACATTCTCGGCTCCTCCACTGCGTCTGTCCACACTTACGTCAAAGCTACTTTTAATGTAAGAAGTGACCAGCAGTGCGCCCTTGTTTGAGATGTAGGTCAGGTCAGGAGCTTTGGGCTTCCTGTTGTGAAATTTGGGTTGTGTTGAACTATCGTTTCCAGCCTACAGCTCAGTGACTGTACAGAAGCACCTCTTAAACACAGACCTTGAGATAGAGATTAATATTATTTTAAGTGTATTGTGAATTCTCCAAATTAAAACAGGTATTTTTCACAATTTACTGTCAGAGAAGAGACAGCAGATGGATCAATATTGAAACTAATTCTTATTTGCAGCCAGGGGTTGCATTGGATTTTATGGTTATCCATAAATCTAAAGGACAGGGTCGTCAAAATTCTGTCATACCCATCAATTTTAATTTAAATTTTTTAATGATAATAAGACATATTTAATAGCGTTTAATTTCTATTTTCTAATAATTGCTAAACAGAACAAGCTTAGAGATTATACATTCATCGGCAGCACTTCCATAACAGGCTTGCAAACTCACAGTTAAGTTGTGGCTTGTTTTGAAGGTCATGTAACTAATGTTCCTTGTAGGGGTGTAAATCACCTGTTTCATCACGATACAATATCCTATCGATTCTTTGGACAACAGTACAATATTTTCCGATATTACAAAGTCTGCCATGGGATAAGTTAACCTTGAGGGCTTTCTTCCAGAGTGACCTGTCTGGAAGAAAGCCCTGAAGGCAAACTTCTCCAAACAGCCATAAAACATGGACTAACAACAACATAGTTTAACAAAAGTATCACAATCTGCTCAGTAATAACTGTCAAGGTTTGTGGACACAACAGTTGTTTTTGTGAGTCAGTCATTAGCTTAAGCATGTTTACACTGCATAAATTAGCCTAGTGGCTAGTGGACTTTTCTCCTCTTCTCATAGCTTAACAAATTACATGGAACTGTAATTTTTTTCTCACTCACTGTTGGTTTAAGCCTGCAGCTACATTTTTTCAGCCGAACATTGTTGACACAAAGCAGCTAATGTAACTGTAATGAGTTAGCAGGATGAGATGCCTGACGAGGCAGGTAACGTAACGTTGTGTTTTATCTCGTTACGTCATTGTTTACATACGCCATGTGCTCTGTCTGTCCGTATTTTCTCCGAAATTTAAAATATTTCCACACTGCCGATTCATTCCAGAATAAATAGCATTATCGTCATCGTCTTTCTCTTGGCTGCTCGCCATCTGCCTGCTGCTGTTTGATGGTGACACAGATATGGATCGATGTTTACACTTTGCATCGATGACATTGGATCGTTGATCATTGAATCAATACATCGATCCAGATCGATGGATCGTTACACACCTAGTTTCTAGAGTGGGAAGTGTATATACATTAGTCAGCTATAACTATGTAATGAAAGGATGTTTTGCTGCCCTTTCGTCTTTACAGTTAGCTGTGTATAGACTGAGAAAAAAATGTTTAATTCAGGGCTACCACCGGCAACCACCAGCGACTTTTAAGGTGGAATGTTTTCTTGCATGTTACCCAGTGCATGAGTTCACGTTTGAATCAGTCAACACACCTTAGATAGTGTAGATCTGTATTTCATGCATTTAAAAATGTTTTTCATTGTTTTTCAAGTAGTCCAACACAGTACAGAAAAGATGTTGAACATGCAGGGATGCACTAATCTGATCTGCTGTATCAGTATCAGAGCTGATACTGACCCTATTTAACTACTGATTAAGGAGTAGCACTCAATATCAGCAGATACCCTGAAGTTTAGGAATCAGAATCAGAAGCATGAGAGAAAGAGCTGAATCAGTGCATCCCTTAGAAAATTCTAAGAAATCCTAATGAGTGGCTCATCAGTCCCTTTTATTTTTGTCCCAGGCATTTAACAAATGTAAGCGGGAAGGTTTCCGCCTGCAGACGGTGGACAAAGCCCCACTAGCCAAGAGGAGGAAGATGAAAAAGACAAGTACCAGCACAGAGACCCGCAGCAGTTCCAGTGAGAGCACCCATTCCTCTTCCTCCTCCTCCCAGTCTCAGGAGAAGAATTTTCCAGAGGGCCACATCAAGCCGCAGCCCTCTAACAGCACGCCTCTCACCACGCCCATCAACACACCCGGGGCCCTGGGAACGGACTCTGAGCACCAACCAGCGCATCCAGCCTTTCATTTCTCAGACGGACAGTGAGACAGCGAGAGGAAAAAGGGAGATTCAGACAGTTTTGTGACCCGCAGGATGGCTCGGACCAGCGTAGAGACAGCTCTCTTCTTTTTCTCTCTGTCCCTGGCAGCTCTCTGCTTCTGGCTCAATTGCATGGACGTCCGCACGTCTCCAAAAACCAAGCATGCAGCAGGAGCAGCAACCGTCACCTCAATATCAATCAATCAATCATCACTAGCAATACCCTATCCCTTTTCCTTCTCTGTCACTTTCACATACCACACAGACTGTGTCAATCAGGGACTGGACCAGGAAGAAGCTGTCACCAGTGTCCAAAATGAAAAGGGCTGCCCTACTGCCCCAGGTCCAGACAGACAATGGAGAGTCATCTTCAGTGTCGTCATAAGATGGCCACTCTCTCTGTCCACTCCATTTACCTGTCTTTGTCCATGCCTCCAGAGGTTTTAAAGGGAAAGTCATAGTGTTTACATCATGGATGCTTTGTATTTTTGTGTCAAAGGGAGAGAAGAAGCGTAACGTAACGTGGGTCCACTTCTCTTCTCTGGGAAGTCTCTGCAAGATGGAGCAGGTTATTTATATGTGAATTTTACAGACTGAGATTTATTTATGATAAGCTATATTGTTAACTTATTTATGGTTCAGACTGATCTGAGAGGAAATAATGGATACAGTAAGTCTTTTAAAAAAAGACATTTTGTGTACGTGTGTATGTTTTTCCCTATCAGCTCAAAAGACTGTTTTCATGTCGTCAGATGGTTGTTTATTCATCTTTGTAATCATCATAGTAGGTTATTGAGACACAGTTATATAAACATTGTAAGACTATTATAGGCAAGAAGAGATTAACACCATTAGCTGCCGGTTGATGGTTGTCAAAGTTACATAACCAAAGTCCCTTTGGACTTGGAAAAGATATTTATTGAGGCGGGTGAATTTTGAGATTGAACTGCAGCTGTGTCCAGTGGTCAAAAAAAGGTACTATCCTTGTTTATAAGGATAAAAGAAGCAAATGTGTAAACATCTTTTTATAGGAACAACCAAATGTGGATGTCGTATGTTCAGCCAAATCTGTGGTTTTATTGTTGTATGGGGAGTACTGCTGCCCGAGGGGACGTGACCCTACAAGAAGAGCTATATTTAGACGCATTTTTTGCCTCTGATGTGGGAGCATGACTACTTCAAGGCTCAGCATCGCTGCTGTTCCACATGGTCTGATCCTTCAAGCCAGTATTAAGCCCAGCAGCGGATTTGCCTTGTGTGGTAGTGGACTTAATTGTCTCATTATCACCACAACCAATTGGATTGAGCCAATCGCCCCAAACGTAAAGTTCCAATCAGCTTAGAGCGACGTGAATTCGTCGAGGAATTGGAGGTTGAGTTTTCTGAGATGCAAGATGCCAAAGGGCAGCTCAGTCCTTTTCAGATGACTAAATTTGAAAATGGAAACATTTACGTGCCAAAAAAATGCAATTAAATCAGGTAACAGACAGGTTTGAGTCTGAGTTGGGGGGCGGTGATACATTCGGACATTTTAGTTTCCTTTGTGTCGCCACCCAAAGATTTAAAACTACTGCAAAATATCTTCCCTTTACGAGAACATCAAGTCCCTGAGGACAGACCTCAAACCAACACTCCTTTTATTTTTGACACCATCTCTTGCTCTATTTACCATGTTGTACTGCATGACTGAAATGGTGATCTTTGCGCTGTGTGACAGCTCTCTCACTTTGAGGCAGATATCTGGTTAGTATTAAGTCCCCAGTGCATGGTGTAAACTCATACATCACCCTCTTGTTTTCTTTGTTTGTTTTTTGGCACTTGATTTAATGTGAGTTTGTTTACTTGCACATTTGAATATCCTCGATTTAATTCGAGACTTTGAAGTTTTACTGTTTGTGGTGTTTGGACGTAAACACCAAAAACCCCTTTTTACAATAGCCTGAATATTGTAATGTCCCGATGTTACAATAACTGGTGTTAGCCAGGATAGTTAGGCAAGTCAGTGCCGTGCTCTGTTAATTGTTTTTTGCAAGCATGTGTTAGTCTGTTTCCATGGTAATAGTTGAAATACTGTATTCTGTTGATATGTACAGGGGTATTTGTGTTCAGTGTGTGAAGCTGCTCTGAAGCAGTTTCTCCTGCTCAGTCAGGATACAAATTCTTAGTTGGACGACTGTGTGCATTTAAACACACTCCCTCATCTTCTTCCATTTTAATGCACTCTGAATCAGAACCAAAGCATTAACTTCAAGGTAGCTGCTCTAAGCTGCATGAGATCTTTCCTTTCATGCAAATATGCAAAGAAATGCTTCATATATATCACGGTTTCTCTTTGTTTTGTCCAACTGGTGAAATATGTTCGATGTTTCTAGCTCATTTTGTAACTGTGTTTCTTCGGATTCTTTATGGGATCTATAATATCCATATCCAGCCCATTATCATGCTTAAAACTATGCATCTCTTTTTCGCTGTTGTGTCACTTTTGCCATTTCGAAAAAAGGCCTCGCCAAATGGGTCCACACATCATGCTTAAAAGGGTGTAACGTAATGTACATATACTGTACTTTTACCCTCATAGCATCAGGCACAATAGGAATAGCGAAGTAGAATCCATCGCCCGTATGAAAAGCTGGAATCCTTGGAGCTGAACACTACAAAGCTCTTGTCTAACTTAGTTCGCATGAGTTCCCCGTTGCTGCCTCATTAAGCCTCTTTTCTTTTGTTTGGGTGTATTAATAGCTCAAGTGGAGGAAGAGGAAAAGTGCCCTATATTGAGCTCCCCTCTGGGAGCCAGGCTCTATTAGCTGATGTGCTGCAGTGCTGTTTGTTCCAAAGAAAATACCGTACTCCACACACTGCCTCTGTGGGACCCAGCTCACTTTTCTTTGTAAGGAAAATAACAGTGTATCACAGGAAAGGGTTGGTTTAGTACCAGCGTCTCTCGGGGGCAGATTTTTAAAACTAGGTTTCCACCCTTTGATGAATAACTTGTTCAGTGTGCCACTATGAGGAAGAGACGAGGACGGGAGGGAGGCCAGTTTTGATTTGACGTCCTTTTGTCTTTGATATATTTTTGTTCGTTGGTTCCCTGGAATCTGAATCAGAATTCCTTTTCTGTGTAGCTTCTCCCTGAGTTAAGGTTGAAAACAACCCGCTTCATAAGCTAGAACTTTGTACCTTTTTGCAACGTTTAATGAGAGGGCTGGTAGTTTGAACTGGTTTGTATAAACCAGTGACTGCTGTTGTACATTTTAGAGTCAAAGGATTGGACTGTGGATGTTCCTGTGTGCTCCTGTCAGTGAAGTCATGTGTGTGCTTTAAAGACACATGTGGGTGCCAAAGCTGAAAGTGACATCTTGCACTGAATGCACGGCTTCTCATGCAGGTGCTTGCGTGCATGTGTTGTCTCTGGAAGTGATGTTTTATAAGATAGTGCAGCTTTTATTTGGGTCGGAGTATGGAGCTGTCCCAGGTGCTGAGGTGACCAAACCTTTGGTGGTGCTGCAAAAACAAGAAGCTTTCCACAGTGACCCATGATATTGTGATCCTGTAAAGCAGTGATTCCCAACCAGGAGTATTCATACCGCAAGGGTTACTTGTGCAGTTGGCACTTGGCAGGTGGTACCTAGATGATTTTAAGAAGTAGAACTTTTTGCTAAAGAGGAAAACGATTACACAAATATGATTAAAATTGGATTGAGGCTGATCTTAAAGGGGAACCCCACCGATTTTATGCAAAGTCTATTAAAAATAAAGTTAAAAGTTACACAAATCCTTTTATGGCAAAATCTGACACAGTACTTCAAGTGATGTCACCTCAGCACATCAGCGTCGGTTGGGGCTGAAGACTTCAAGTGTGAGAAAGAAAACAATCTGGTGGTGTGGAATCAGAAAGAGGAGTGTTTACCAGACCAGAAACGATATTCAGTTTTGTATAACTAAAGGGATAAGTATTAATTTTGTAGTGGGGCTGTATGAGGTATCCATAGTCAGTGTATTACTTACAGTAGATGGCAGTCAGCACGCCCCCAGTTTGGAGAAGCAGGAGTACTAACGCAGAAGCTAAGCAATGTACTGCTGTGGACCAGGGCAGCAGCAAAACAAATTTTAGCCACCTAAACAACATATATATATATATATATATATATATATATATATATATATATATACATATCAGTTTTAGTGTACACTATACTTAGAATATCTTAACCTCTTTACCATAGACTGTACATAAAGATGGGAGCTTGGGGAAGAAGGGAAGCCAAAATATCCAAGATACAGCCACTGTCATCTTGCTCTGGTGACCTCACTGGGAGAGTCTGCGCAATAACAATTTCCACCAACATGGAGAGGGTGTGCTTTATGACCTATACTGCAGCCAGCCAGCAGGGGGTGATTGAGACTACTGGGGAGCTGTCATGTCTTCCATCTTTATATACAGTCTGTGCTCTTTACCTTAACATCAGACAGCCCTTTCCAGCTGGAGACTGAAGTCATTATCTGTGCTCTATTCAAAGCCAGACTCCATTGACAAAAACAGTAATTTTACCTCGCAGAACACAGGAGCTGCTGGTCTAATGCTGCCTTGTTTGTGTTATTGTGTGACCTCACTGTTTTAAAGAGGCAGTTCGGATTCACTAAAGTCGCACAATAAAACAAACTGACTATGGCAGCAGTAGACCAGCAGCTCCTGTGGTCTGCGAGATAAAATTACTGTTTTTATCAGTGGAGTCTGGTGGCTCTGAAGAGAGTGATATAATGGCTTCAGTGCCCCGTTGAAAAGGGCTGTCTGACATCAAGGTGAAGATATTCTAAATATAGCGAAAACGTAAACTGATGTATATACTGATATGTTTGTAAATATATTGTAGAAAAAATAATAATTTTTTTCATTATTGTTGTAGGTGGCTAAAATTCAATTTGCTGCTGCCCCCATCCACAGCAGTACATTGCTCAGCTGACATGTCAGTACTCCTGCCTGCTTCTCCAAACTGGGGGCGTGCCGACCGCCATTTCTGTAGGTAACACACTGACTATGGACAAGTACCTTTATACAACATCACTTTATAAAAATCTTAACTATCCCTTTAATAATCAGTAACATCCAAGTTCATATAAACCTAAATATGTACTGTGATGTCATGAGAGGTCACCGAGGCAATTAAACTGGGAAACAGGCAAAATATCAGGTCCAAACAAGATGGAGTTTAATTTTCCAACATACAGATTATAAACAGGTAACTCAGGTGTCCCCTTAAGATGCCACAATACAAATGTACAGTGAGGTAATTTCAGACAAAAAAAGTTGTGAGCCACTGCTTTAAAGGGTCAGTTTCACTTTAATTATAAAAAAGAAAAACCTGCTGTTGGCAGTTTTAACAGGAACTTTTCTCTGGGAGAAAGTAGTTTCAATTAGAAACAGGTTCACAGTGTGGTATGTGGGTTATCCAAAGTAGCTGTGACATTGTTTTTAAAAATAGGAGCTGCAGTTTTTAAATGCTGAGAACATCACAAACACTGATATCTCACAACCCGACCACATAAAACCAGAACCAGATACCACTTTAAAAAAAAAACAGTGTTTTGGGGGGAAATTTCTTTGAACTAACCCTTTAATGATCCTACAGGGGAAGTTATTTTCTCTTACCCTTCCAGAGAGGTCAAAGCACATGGTCAGTCTCAGACAGGCACTGTTGTGTTGCTCAAAAACCCGTCAGTAGCGACGTCCGGACTCGACCATGTGTCTTTGATTTATTTGGTTCACTCAGCCCAGTGTTGCTCGACTGTTGAGAGATGATGAGACGGTTTTTATGAGGGACAAATTGATGCTTTTGTGTGCACATGTAAGAGATGTCAGTCAGTGCTCAAGCCAACCTGCCACTTTAGGTATCATCATCACCATCCTCTTCGTCACCATCATGCATGTGCTACTGCTTTGGCTCCTGTCAGTATTTTCCATTGATCCTCGTCACGGTCGTGTCATATCGTCACTGAAGCGTGTCACAAAGTACTGTAGCAGTGATTCCCTTTGAGATTGGTCAATATTAAACTGTTTTAAAAAAACACGCAATCAAGCTTTAAAGGCAAAACTTTGCACTTTGTATGTTATTTTAATCATGCTATTGATTTGTTTTTGTACAAAAAAAAAGAAAAATTGTGCAGGTTCAGATGTTCAGCTCATCCATCCGTCTGTTTCTGACTTCTGAGACGATACTATGATATAAACCTCAACACCAAATACTACTTGTACTGCAAGGATACACCATGTGCATACCTGCTTTTTTAGGGCACTGTGAACATCATCATTCAGGTCTTCAGGCACACCGTGGATATTCTGAGGAAAATTTGCTTCAATAAATGCTTTACTTAGTGGCTGAATACATCTGTACATTTAATAACCTGACACCAGTCATGACGAGTCTTTTAATAGATCTTTGGCTTCATTGTATTTTCAAGTGTATTACTGAAGATATTTTGTGATACCAGGATTTGTGTGTTGTCAGAGGGACAATAAATGTACGATGTCCTGTTCATGTATTGATCTCGACTTATAAATTAGGTACTTTTTTTATATTAAAAAAAAAAAAGAAAAATGAATTCAGATTAAAAAGGCCTGTTAGGAGACATGGAGACTTTATTTTAGCGGGCAGCCTCTAGATGGCAGTGTTTAATAAAGCACCACTGGCAGAGTGGTTTCCTGTGCAGCATGAGCTCCACTCAGCCTTTAAGATTTATCCATAGATGAGTCCAATATAAGATTGTGTTAAATACGCTTCAAAACTAAAATAGAATTTTTCATGTTGTCTAGCAGGACTAGAGATTTCTGTCTATGTACCGGGTCGATTAAATGCATATTTATAACCAAAATAAGATCTGTGTCTTAAAAAGTGAACTGTAAGTACTGTAAATGTCCCGTTCTATTATTTTTGTGCTCTGATTAAAATAGTTACATGCGTCGGACCTGACTAAAGGTTTCCAGTCTCTTTTAAGAGGTCACTTTAAGATGCACCCAGATGACAAACATAATAGTGTCGAAAGAGGAGCTGATTGAACTCTGATAAGGGGATTATTGATCGTGTGTGAAGTAGTGATAACTGAGTAATGTTTGTGTTTGCAGATTTTTGCCTGTTTAGTGTCATTTTTGTGAAGAAATGTTCATTTTAGACGTTAAGGGCTTCATAGGGTCTTTGAATCCTTTCAGAAAATATTGAACTGTTTGTCATGTTGCAATAAAAAAAATTCAAATATTACAAATTTTCTCCACTAGGGCTGCAGCTAATGATTATTTCAGTAATCAACCGATTAACTGTTTGATTTTTAAAATGTAAGAACATTTTTATTACTTGTTTTGTCTAGGGATGATTAGAGCAGGGTATCATCTGAAAAATTATGATACCAGTATCCTTAAAAGTAAACAATGCAGGATTACCAGTTACTGTTTGTAAAGTTACAAGTTAAGGTTCCACCTTAAAAGTCACCGGCAGTCGGCCCAGTGAATTAAGTTGTTTTTTCTCAGACTCCAGCTGCTGTGAGAGACAGCAAAACATCCTTTCATTTTATAGTCACAGTTTACTAATAAAACTATCCACAGTATGAACAGTGGTTACATGAGCCTCAAAACCAGCCACAACTCAGCCCTGAGCAGAGTGACCATCCTCTACTGACCAATCAGACTGCAGTGTTCACAGCTCCACCTTTTAGTACCAGATCTGTGTGCTAGGTGCCCCAACAGAGGGGGGACCAAACATGGGGACGGAACAGAACGGTTCCATCCACAACTTTTCACAGTGGAAACGGAAAAAAAACGTACTGAACTGAACCGTCCTGTACTGCTTGGTGGAAACGGGGGTTTTAAAGCCAACCCCAGATTCACTCTTGCGTTTACTATTGGATGCCTGCTGTTTACAGTCTGGCACCTGGTTGCTACCTTTTTATAAAACCCAGATCTCACCTGAGCACTGCGGGGGTACACACCCATAAACATCCCAAACATCCCAGACTATTTTAGCAAAGAAAAGGATCATGACGGAGATAGGTTTGCATGTTTGGGGCCATATAGCCTACAGCAAATGACACCATTTCTAATTTAATGTGAGTTACTTGAACACAGGTGTAGTTCTGACGTGGCAATCTGAATCCCCCCACCCCACATCTATATTTACACCCCTGGTCAATACCTTAGGTACCAAATACTGATACCAGCCCTACCCATGAAAGATATTAATGTTAGTATCATGGAAAACCAAGAAAACCAGCAGATATTCACATTATGAAAACTAAAACCTGTGAATCTTTGGCATATTTGCTAAACAAAAATAATAATATGATCAAATGATGATTAAAGTAGTAGTTCATTTATCGCCGTGCCAGCCAAACATTTGGCCCGTCCTGCATGAAAATACGTGACACCACTATTTAACACATATCTTCTGTTCTTGCATGTAATCTTATTTTTATTTTTTAGACAGTACAAGAGACACCATACAGTGACAAACAGTGCGTTATCACCCTCCCCTGGATTTGCAAAAGTGATCTGTCCAACAGAGTGGGGGCTGGATCACAGAGAGGACCGCTGCACCTCCCAGACTCAGCTTCGTGGAGTTAGAATCAGTGCTGTATGTTTACGCTCGTCATGTCAGTTATACAGCAATAAGATGTGTGACAAAGTCAAATGTACATTTTGCAATATTAAGTATTATAATTACATAAAATTTGTTTCAGTTATTATCTGACAGGCTCAGGCCTCCATAGTCCATATCTGGAACGTTTGATACTCAGTTTCTGCACCCCTACGTTCACCTTTATAAAGGGGTGTCTCCTGCCTTATCTCTCCCCTTTTGCTGTTGTACTCCATGAGAGAGGGGTTTGGGTTATATGGTTGTAACTGATGGAGGATTTTGTTCTTACCTCGGGAATAAACGGAGATTGCCTCCAGAGATATCCACAATCTGGGCCTCTTCATATCAGCACAGCGCAGACAACACTAGAGTCCATCGGTTACATACAACAAGTGGGGTCACTCCTCAGTAACGGCTGCCCCCTAACACCAGGAGCTCACTGTTTACAACCCCTCTGTAACAGCAGATGACCTCATCAACAATTATTTAAAGGCTGTCAGTAAAGTTTACACGAGGTGTCCATATTTTCTAATGTATGTCCAGCTTTTCTTTCATTTAGCAGGACAAGTAATCCCCCACCTGTCGCTGTGCTATCATATCCTGACAGGAGAGGACGCTCTTTGGCTTTCCATCAGCTGGACTGCTGCGGTCAAATCTGCTCTGTGGATAAAGTTTTATATCAGTAAGTGAAACTTCAGTTTTTGAAGTTGAACGCATGAACACCTGAGAGACACTCAAACCCAAACCACCAGTCATTTGTCATAGGAGAGGGGACACCTTTACCTGAATCAATGTAGGTAAAGGGGTCAAAGGTCATCTGCGTGCACAGTTGCTCCAAGAAATATCCCACCCTGTTCTCAAAGGGGAAAAGAGATGAAACACTTAAAGGCAAATCCATATATTTCTTGAGTTTAATGTATATACTGTAGGGTTTTAAGTGATATCTCCCTCCTGTGTGTGTGTGTGTGTGTGTGTGTGTGTGTGCTCACTCTATTTCTGCTTCTCCATCATCAAATTTAACATCACTTCAACATGACTCAGCAGGCGGGTCATATTTCAGAGAGTACGGTGGCTTCTGCAGGACACAATCAGCTCGATACGCTCCCTCCTCACAATATTTAAAAAGCAAAGCAGATTTTTTTTATGCATGGCTTTCAATCCACTTATTGTGGTTTCACCCCACTCACTCCTATATGCAACAATACAGATGGTGCACTCAGAGCACTTTCGCCGGGCTACTTTTGCAATGGATGTCAATATGGACGTTCAGCAGGGGGAAACTCATTACGCAGTGTGTCCTCTGTGTGTGTATGTGTGTGTGTGTGTGTGTGTGTGTGTGTATGATATCTATTTTCTTTGAAATCTCTCTGCACTAAAATATGATCCATTACCAGACAATGTGTTGTATACTGTGGTCAAGTATTCAGATGGAAGGTCCGCACTCTGAAATCCATCATTGAGATTTTTTTGAGTGAGACTGTCAGCACGTACATCAAGAAAGACAAAAATACACCAGAAAGATTCAATATTTTAAAATCCTTCACTGCACACTCAAAAGGAAATACAACATGTGTGATTCTTTCTGTTTCGTACCTAAACACATAGTAGACTCTCATATATCTTACAATGGTGACATGATTGCTGATGCAGGTTTGAAATGCAGAGAATAAAACATTTTGGAGATTTGAGTGGAGACAATGTGAACCTTTGTTTTGCCATGAAGCATAATTCTGCCTATTTATGCAAAACCCTTTTTGTTCACCTTCAAAGCGCTCTGAGAACGGCCTGAGACAATTTTACTTTTGTTCTCGTTCACGTCAATGTGTGCCGCCGTGAATCATGTTTCCAAAAGACTCCTCATCTGTCAGTAACATTCCTGCTCACTGATTTTAGGACAAAGTGATTTAGTACTGAAATTATTTATCATTATTGCAGTCAGAAAGCGTAAATGTGGCATGGAGAACAAACCCTGAAAAACATGGACTGATTAATGGACAATGGGCCCCTGGGCACAGATATGCAAAGGGCCCCACCACCCCTATCACACAGGCGCAAGACGCACTGACTTTGTGGTGGTTTTGTGTCTCTTTGTAGGACATTTGTGTCTTTTCTTACTCACTTTGTGTCTCCTTGTGGTTGGTTTGTGTCTCCTTTGGTAATTTTGTGTCTCTGGTTGTTTTGTGTCCCTTTTACTCATGTTGTGTCTTTTTGTGGTTGTTTTGTGTCTCTTTTACTCATGCTGTGTCTCCTTCTGGTTGTTTTGTGTCTCTTTTACTCATGTTGTGTCTTTGTGGTTGTTTTGTGTCTCTTTTACTCATGTTGTGTCTTTTTGTGGTTGTTTTGTGTCTCTTTTACTCATGCTGTGTCTCCTTCTGGTTGTTTTGTGTCTCTTTTACTCATGTTGTGTCTTTTTGTGGTTGTTTTGTGTCTCTTTTACTCATGCTGTGTCTCCTTCTGGTTGTTTTGTGTCTCTTTTACTCATGTTGTGTCTTTTTGTGGTTGTTTTGTGTCTCTTTTACTCATGCTGTGTCTCCTTCTGGTTGTTTTGTGTCTCTTTTACTCATGTTGTGTCTTTTTGTGGTTGTTTTGTGTCTCTTTTACTCATGCTGTGTCTCCTTCTGGTTGTTTTGTGTCTCTTTTACTCATGTTGTGTCTTTTTGTGGTTGTTTTGTGTCTCTTTTACTCATGCTGTGTCTCCTTCTGGTTGTTTTGTGTCTCTTTTACTCATGTTGTGTCTTTTTGTGGTTGTTTTGTGTCTCTTTTACTCATGCTGTGTCTCCTTCTGGTTGTTTTGTGTCTCTTTTACTCATGTTGTGTCTTTTTGTGGTTGTTTTGTGTCTCTTTTACTCATGTTGTGTCTCCTTGTGGCTGTTTTGTGTCTCTTTGTGGTTGTTTTGTTTCTCTTTATGGTCGTTTTGTGTCTTCTTTACTCATTTTGTGTCTCTTTCTGGTTGTTTTGTGTCTCTTTTACTCATGTTGTGTCTTTTTGTGTTTGTTTCGTGTCTCTTTGTGACTGTTTTGTGTCACCTTGTGTTTGTTTTGTGTCTTCTTTACTCATTTTGTGTCTCTTTCTGGTTGTTTTGTGTCTCTTTGAGGTTGTTTTGTGTCTCTTTCTGGTTGTTTTGTGTCTCTTTGTGGTTGTTTTGTGTCTCCTTGTGTTTGTTTTGTGTCTTTACTCATTTTGTGTGTCTTTGTGGTTGTTTTGTGTCTCCTTGTGGTTGTTTTGTGTCTCTTTGTGGTTGTTTTGTGTCTCTTTGTGGTTGTTTTGTTTCTCCTTGTGGTTGTTTTGTGTCTCTTTGTGGTTGTTTTGTGTCTCCTTGTGGTTGTTTTGTGTCTCTTTGTGGTTGTTTTGTTTCTCCTTGTGGTTGTTTTGTGTCTCATTGTGTTTATTTTGTGTCTTCTTTACTCATTTTGTGTCTCTTTGTGGCTGTTTTGTGTCTCCTTGTGGTTGTTTTGTGTCTCTTTGTGGTTGTTTTGTGTCTCCTTGTGTTTGTTTTGTGTCTTCTTTACTCATTTTGTGTCTCTTTCTGGTTGTTTTGTGTCTCTTTCTGGTTGTTTTGTGTCTCTTTGTGGTTGTTTTGTGTCTTCTTTACTAATTTTGTGTCTTCTTTGTTCATTTTGTGTCTCTTTCTGGTTGTTATGTGTCTCTTTGTGGCTGTTTTGTTTCTCCTTGTGTTTGTTTTGTTTCTTCTTCACTCATTTTGTGTTTCTTTCTGGTTGTAATGCAGGTGAAGGCCAGGTGGCCTGTGGGCCTGTGCCAGGTCGGCTCATTCAGTCATGCATCCATGGTGGAAATAAGAGAAACAACATTTATGACAACCAAAAATGGTTACTTCACTCAAATCAGCAGATAATACTCATCATTGACAGATGAATCTAAAATGAGTTGGATGGAGGGGGAGCAGAAGTAGTGAATTATTCTGAGCTGACTCTTGTTACTATCACAAAATGAAAGGCTTCTTTTTAGAGTATCAGGGCCAGCTGCACAAAGCACCTTAAGTTTGCTCCTTCAGTATGACAGTTACGGCTTAAATGAAATGCCTCACTGGTAGCTGACTGGAAAGATCCTGCTGCATAAAACCACAGAGCAATCATTAATTAAAGGGACTGGAGGAGCGCAGCTTTGGAAAGTGATCCAACCCCACACAGACACAATCATAAATTGACCTCTGGTAAAATTGAAAGTGCAAAATCAGTTGCTCATCATTAATTGTGACCATCAGGTTCTCCTGGTCGCAGAACACTTCTTTCATTTTTGCTTTAATTTTTCTGATTTATCTCCATAAAGTCAACCATGTTGCAGTTACGATGGAATCAGAGGTACTTTATGTTTTTGTCCTTACTTCGGTTACTAAGATTCTTTGTGCAACAGTTTAACAAACTTAAAGCAATTCCTTGAGTATTAGACAAAGATAAGGAGAAAAACTTAAATTTTAAGGAAACCTAAAAGAGAAGACTTGAGGATGTTTTGTACAACTGTACAACATACCTTGGACTTGAAAATCTCTACTTGCTCCTTCTCACAAATAAATAAAAAATGAATTAATCAGTTTATTGTTTGCCATATTTCCCGTTATTCTTGTTAATAAAACGATTCTTATTTTCAGGTTATTATAACCCAATGAAAACATAGTTATAAATATGATAAGACATTTCTGCCAATAGACTCCCCTAAATCCTCCACTGGACCTTTAACTTTTATTTCAAGTGTTGCACTTTACTACCTTTCTAAAAAAAAAAACAACAAACAAACAAAAACGTCTGGTGATAAACTCCTGATAAACCGTGAGAGTGTGAGAGGATCAATAGAAGAAGCTGCAGGTGTGTCTGCGGCCGCAGGGGGGCGGAGCACCGGAGAGCCGACACTATGCACTCAGCTGACCGGAAGTAACGCAATTTAAATATCAATTGGCGGGGTGCAGACACACCTGAGCCGAGCGTGGCGGTTTGTGAACAGTAGAAAAATAACACTGCGGTGAAACTCAGTAAGACGTCTGTAATTATTTTTTATAAAGATAAGCGTCACTGTGTGTCGGCACAGGTGAAGAACAATAAGGTTAATTAATCAGTGATTTATTGCACCAACTGCGAGCGCGCGCCATGCCACACAAATTAAACACCCACACAGGTGTGCTGCTGGATCAAGCTAACGTGTTAGCTAACTGCTAACATGGACCCCGTGATTTCTGCGTTCACTGAGGAACTTCTGTCTCCAGGTGTGTGTGACACCTTCCTGCTGTTTGTGACTAATAATCTCTGAGGTGACTCATTCAGGATTTGTGGTTTGCAATGGGGATGAGACAGTGAGTGGACTGGTTACACTGGGACCAGAGAGGCTGTTTGGACTGGTTACACTGGGACCAGAGAGGCTGTATGGACTGGTTACACTGGGACCAGAGAGGCTGTGCGGACTGGTTACACTGGGACCAGAGAGCCTGTTTGGACTGGTTACACTGGGACCAGAGAGGCTGTTTGGACTGGTTACACTGGGACCAGAGAGCCTGTTTGGACTGGTTACACTGGGACCAGAGAGGCTGTGCGGACTGGTTACACTGGGACCAGAGAGCCCTGAGAATGAGCCATCAGAGAAGCTGAACCTGGATCGGACTGAGGACTGAGACTCGCAGGATGACGTCAGACAGGTGAGTACGATGACACACCTAATGATGGATGTGACTCCCAAACTGTGCAGCTCTCTTTCTGTGTTAATGTGTGTTTGTGGCTGCAGCTGCTGTCGAGTTTATCTTGTCTTCAACGTTACATCTCTGTGTTTCTGCCTTGGTGATATTTTTAATTGATTAGCTATCTAATTTATATGTCTTAATAATATTAATGTTTGTTGCACACACCAGAATGTCAATAACTAGTTTTGTTTATTGTCATTGGTCATTGCCAAATTTTGTGGACAAGTTGCAAATGTTTATCTATAAAAGTGGAAGTTATCGTTGGTTTGGACATCAGGGCTCTGCGCTGTGATGTTGCTCCACTAGTGTCGGGGTCAGCAACCTTTGAGATGAGAGAAGTCTCTTGCCATTATAGAAAAGTAGGGCTGGACTGAAGAGTTTGAAGTTTCATTCATAACATTGATATATTTATTTTTTTGCAAGTCTACTTATTGCACATATTATTAGTATTATACTATTTACTGAATTTGTTTCCTTTTGTGGCTGCAGTGTGTAGGATTGTTTCTGAATTGTCCAAAAGTTAAAGTTTATAAAAACAAACAAACAAACATAGTGGTCATCATTTCCACAGTTCACGTTTTTATCATATGAAATATCCTGCTTCAATCCATATCTGTTGCCATTAAGCCTCTTAAAGAACAACCGTTTCGTTGTGTTGAAAAACCAGTTTGGTCTCCTGTTTGCTGCACATATGTGTATTAACAGGGCGGTCTAACAGCACCACAAATTACATTTATTAATTGAGGAAAGCTGATTTAATAAGTAGAGGATTTTGTTCATTTTTTTATGGTGATGACATCATAAAACATGACGACAGACATTCAAAGCTTTAATTTGAAAACCTCAATAGAAGCTTTGAATGTAATGAAAATAACATGTTTTGGTACAGCCCTACAGTATGTGTTTATGTACGGAACAATAACCCTATCAGAAAATATCATGGTTTCATATCTTCTTCTTCTTCTTTTTCTTCTTCTTGTTATTATTATCCATAGGTGTGGATTTCAGGGGGGTTGCAGGGGAAACATCCGCCTTAATATTTAGAGCATGTGCACACCCACCCCCCTCGCAATGAAAACATGAAAATAGCAGAGGACTTGGAGTTTTTCCAAAATTAAACACATTAATAATCATTTATTGATGCAGAAGATGCGTAAATTGGTGCATAAAAATTCACCAGAATGCAGAAAATTTAGTGTTTGACGCTCAGAATTTTGCAGTGAAGAACCCTTTCAGGTTTTTTTTCAATATCATAGATAAGCAAATGTAAACATAATGACGACTGTCAATTTTTATAGCATGTTACATCGCTGTAACCCTCCGTCCGACAACAAACATCGTCAGGAAATTGGTGAGTTGAGTGCCAGTCAGACAGCTCAATATGTTACCATGTCACCAAAACAGTCATATAAATAAACTATACTTACGAAAATATAAAAGGTACAGTAAATAGAGATATGATGAACTAAAAACAATCAAATAGGCTTTGTTGAATTACCAAAGGTTTTCAGTTCAGATGCTAGATGTTGAATACAAAAATGATCATTTTGCAAAGAATTCCAGACAAGTTTTCCCTCACTGTTCCCTCCTCCTAACAGACATGTCCTTACATCTTAAATTAGGGGGCTGAGAGGTGAATATGTAATGAGACAGGACATGGTGGAGGAGTTTGAGCTCTGAGCTGGGTGTGGATGTGTGTGTATGGTGGTGGTCTAGTTTAGCTGACACCCCTGTAGTCCAGTGCAGATGTTTTGAACAGATCTCGTGGTGATTTTCGGCTCGCAGGTTGAGATTAGGACTCAGGATAAGTTTATGGTAAGCCAGCAGGAAGTGAATGTAAGCCAGTGCAGTGTTCTCTCAAGTATGGTAAAACCCATGAGTGTGTGTGTGTGTGTGTGGAACAGATCTCGTGGTGATTTTCGGCTCGCAGGTTGAGATTAGGACTCAGGATAAGTTTATGGTAAGCCAGCAGGAAGTGAATGTAAGCCAGTGCAGTGTTCTCTCAAGTATGGTAAAACCCATGAGTGTGTGTGTGTGTGTGTGTGTGTGTGTGTGTGTGTGTGTGTGTTTCAGAGGGCGGGGTTTGGGACTGTAGAGGGGTGAAGTGCCTCCGATCCTTGGGAGTGGAACGCATTTCCTTTTGTTGCCCTCCAATTTTTGACTGGTTTGCCCCAGCACATGAGCATGATGGGGCTGTTTCTATTATCCAGCTTCCCAGAGACCCCCCCTCATCCATCCTGCCCTGTTCGGCCTGTTCCCAAAGCGATTGGCATTCCTGGGGGCCACCAGTGAAGCAGCTTTAGAGGGAAGTCCCGCTGGCTCCTGGGTGGCCTCTTGTGCACGGGCTCCGAGGGGAGGAGACAATGTCTTATTAATTGACTGGGCGTCTTGGGCAGAGTGCAGGAATTTAGCAGGAGGGGGAGACGGAGAGAGTGGGGATGAGGGATGAGCTGGGAGGGACGGAGGGGCGGGATGAGCGGGGAGGATTCACAGTCCACCATTAGAGATTCATTGACCTCTGTCGCAGATTTATTTCTGTTTGATTTACATTGCTGCTGGGAAGGACGGAGTTGTTGGGAGGTGGAGATGTAGCTGTGCTGCTGTAGAGACCTGAAGCTTGTCTTTTTTAACTTTTAATATTGAGTATTATTAACAGTTTGTCTATAATTGAAGCAACTCTGTCTAAAGTGAAACAGCTCATTTTTATTTCACAACATTTTTACTGTTACTGGGCCACTCTGTTCACAGTACTGTGTTAACCTTACAGAATTAAGCAGTATTTAGACAGTTTTAGTTGGTTAAAAAATAATATATAATGACTATTAGTCTTCGACAATTGTTGGAAAGTAACTAAGTATGTTTACTCAAGGACCGTACTGAAGTCCAGTTTAGAGGTACTTCTTCTTTACTGTAGTGTATTAATTTCATCCTACTTTGTACCTCTACTCCACCGCATTTTAGAGGAAAATATGTAACATATGAAATATTGGATATTCTATAAAATAGGATGTAGTGTTATAGATTAAATTATCCAAAATTATATAAAGCAGTCTGGCTGTACCCGATTCAGAGTCTTGTCAGTCGAATCAGATCTGAGAGCACTATCTCACTCTGAAGTCGTCGAAATCCGGCGTTTGGGCAATGACTTGCCAACGAAAAAAGGCGTCCTTTAACGTTTGCATGATTCACGGCCGGTTGCCGTTATAGTTTAACAGCAGCCAGCAGCATCAGGGGGAAACACAGCAGGTCAGGAATCGAAGTTAAGGCCCAAGTGGGGTGGGAAGGAGGGGTGCTGGATGGGTCCAACAAACAACAACTTTCACCTGAGACAGCGGCGTTCACATCCCGTAAGATTCTAAAGCCAAATCTGTTTCCTAAACCTAACCATGTGTTTTAGTTGTTAAAGGAAAAAAACATAATTTCACAGTGTTTATTTTGAAAGAGACTGTATGTAAACGTTAAATTTCCTGTGAAAACAGAAGTGTATTTTGAAAGAAGACAATACATGTAACAGGCAGAACTTCGCGGCGTCCCAGAACGTCAACAACCAACACACCCAGGGTACCTTGCACGTCATGTCAATGTGGAAAGTGCATCATCAAAATGTCAATATGTGACAAGGCCAGAGTGAGAATGTGTTGGATTTGACTGTTTAATATGAATATTCGACTATTCCTACACTTTATTGCACAACCAGTGTTTATACAGCATTTGTCGGGACGTTCGGGGAGACAGTAACGTTAACATAATATGGTAAACAAGCTAAGTTAGCCCTCAAAGCTATTGCTATGCTAACAACAGATTGAAAAAGGGCAACATTTTTTGCCGACACTAGATACCTAACAAAAGGCAGAAAGTGTTTCGTATTTAGCTGCCTCCGTCTCACTCGGACTCACCCTGTCTCTGGGTCCGCAACTGTCTGTACCAGTCACAGACATCTTCACCGAGTAGATCTGCCGCCTTGATGTAGTGTAGCTGAAGCATTTTTTCAAGCAAGGAACACTGACTCTGAAGCTACCTCTGGGGATCAACCAAACGTCCAGCGATGTACACTGCACACTGACTGACAACCTCCCAAAAACAACTGCTCAGTTTGAAGAATCTCAGTCGACTAAAGAGCCTCTGACTGATTATTTGAACCTTCAACTTTCAGGCGGTGTAGTCCTATAAAGCAGTTAAAAGTAGCTCCACATTGAGCAGCTACAACATTAGAGAACTGCTTATATTTTAATGTATTGATAATATTTTTAGACCATTTCTACATGGTGTTGCCAACACTGCCAGACTTATAAATTTGGTTAGATTTGGAATGTACGATTTTCTTGTAATGAAGTAGTTTCATAGTGTAGTATTTCTACTTGTACTTTCATAATTGATCTGAATACTTCTTCCACCCCTGCTTGTTTATCCAATACGGGGGGAAATTTTTTTGTCTTGGTTTCCATTAACTTTCAGACTTACCTGACCAGTTTTTAAATATTTTTCCCAAATCTGTGTCCAGCCAAATGTCTCATCTCATCATTAAAACACACAAAAAAATATCTGGTAATTTATTTTCCACCCTGCAGTGTGTTGCGGATGTTCTCTCTCACACACACACACACACACACACACACACACACACACACACACACACACACATTCAGCAGGTTAAACCCATCATGGTGGGCAGTCAGCCGCCCCTCCACACACAGCAGACTCCTGGTTTTGTGCGAGTTTGATGGAGTGGGACAGGACAGACAGAGGTTTGGGGGTGGGACGGGTGTACCATCTCCCCATGTGGTCCCCCCGCCCCCCCCAGGTGTCCTCACCCTAATCCTGTTACATGTGTCCCCCATTAGCACTAATGGAGCGTCCATTGTCCCCCCGTTGTGTGCTGTTGTGCCCTCGGCCCAGTCACCTTGAGTCAGTAAACTCAGCCCTGTCATGTTTGGACTGCTTCCCACACACAGGGGTCT